ATAGGTTTGGGTGACCCAAAAGCGATAATACATCTCAAATTTGCAAGAATAGAAAGACTGGGATCCATAATTAGACTATGAGATAACAAGTGAACTTGGTATTACGTAGAATGAGAATATGTTATTATTATGCATTTATATTATTTTGTTATTGCACTCATATTTAGGATATATGATATTAGATTGTGCACTGCAGATAGAATCCGGGCAATAAAAATTTAAGTTAATACGAGCCTACTAAAGATTGTTTAGTCAACTTTTTTCTGTAGGAATTTCCCACTTCAATTTGAAAAGAAAACATGCTGAATCAAAACTCTGATTCGCAAAGTAGAATTTTTATAGTGCAATCGCCAAGTTGAGCTAGAACAAGTTTGCAAAATGCAATCAATAATATGTTGTATATTATGATATATATATATATATATTAATGGGTGTCTTATGACTTGAAACCTAATACTGACAAAACAATATGATCTTTAATGCAGCAAGTTCAATATTAGTGACAGACACATTAGTTATAATACATACAATAAAATAAACTCTCGGTTTTTAATGGGCACTTGCGGAACCCTAGACCACTGCAAATCCCGATTGAAAACCTCTGCGTTTAAAAGTAGTTGACGATTACTCATCTCCATAATCTTAAAATCAATTTATTTTCGGATTCTATTTTTTCAATGCGGTAGCTTTTTTATCAATATTCACTTCACTGGTTCTCAAATTTAACACTTGTCGTTTTATTTTTTTATACAGACATTCATTTCATAATGAAAATATTGCGGGCAATTTATTTGGAGCGTATATCATTCTTAGTTTGCATCTACACTTTGATGTAAGTAGAACTTATATAATCTACTTTCCCTAAAGTCTAAAATATCTCTAGCTGTAGAAAATTAGAAATATAATTCAGGTCATCCAGAAATTGTACATATATATGCTAAGGCAGTTTAGTATTCAAGATGTTTATTTGGTTGGGAAAAAATACAACTTAATAATGGTAACCATGTGATAGATCTATCGTCACAAAAAGCTATCCTTGTCTAAATCCTTGATTTTGAAAATCGTAAAAAAAATTTTTGCTGATCCTAGCATACTGAGCTTCTTTGTAAGTAAGTTACCTATTGCTAATTAAGACAGCAGTATCCGCATCGTTTAATAATATGACATTCGTGTTCATATATAGTTCGGTGCAAATAATTAAAAAAAAAACTATATATAAAAGTTCTTAATAAAGGGTAAGCTTCAAGTATCCAAAGGCAATGCCCAAAAATAAATAATCTCTTGGAGTGACAGTAGTGAGAAGCATTTTTAAAAATAACGTTTCTCCAGGTTGTCAAGGATTCAGGTTGTCAAGAAATAATAGTCTTCCATAACAGTGCTTCTCGAACTTTTTTATACTGTCGACCCCTTACAGTACCTCATACATTATCATTACCCCTCAGAAATACAATGAATTGCAAAGTTACAAACAAATTTATCGACAGTCATTTAAACACCGTAGACCTGCGGCTCTTCATCCTCGAAACTCTGGATCTCGTGATTCAAAATGATTACAGGCTGTAACAGCAGTTTTCTGCTGTAAGTATTGGGATTTAAAGAAAGGGTAAGCATAAAGCCAATTTTGTGTATAATTATTTTGTCGAGTTTATGCTGCAAGCCTGCAAAGCAAAATAAAAATTTTGTTTTCGAATAATTATACTAAAAATGAGTAGTTCAGGGTCTGTATTTTTCAATGTTATAAAGGCTGTTTTAGCAAATGTAAATGCAAAAGCAGGGCTTTTAAATCATATTTTCAGGCTTTTCTGCTCTCTCATAGCTATTTTGTAACCTTAGTTATGTTTATCCAACAATATGCTGCATGGCATGTCACATCTCTGTCTAAGCAAGTCGTTGGTATTAAAAAGTGTTATTGGTAGGGCAGTCCCGAAGTATGTGCATCAAGATGGTGCACAACCTGAACCCTAACCTGGTACACATACTATGTACAGGTTGTGCGCCATCTTGGTGCACATGATTCTGGGGCTCCGTTGGTAGGGATGGCCAGAACTAACTGAATAATCTACTATCACGAATACTCACTTCTCGATATAATATATTGTGTGGTTTTATGAAAATATGCTTTTACACTTTATTTGGTGAGTGATTTAGCATTTTATTTTGTGGAAACTTAAAAAGATTTACTAGGTTCACCAAGTTTAGTAGACTATGTCGTTATGTCAGTCTGGACAGCTGAATGTCCATGCATCCGAAAACAAATAACTGACTATTTCCATACCTGACCTAGACTTGTAACCGGACGAGAGGCTGTTTTTTTTGCCATGTGAATAAGCCATCTTAAACTTTCCTCTCTCCCGGAATAAATATGAAAATTACTTTTATTTCAGTAGCCAAAGAGTGTGTTTGGGTGTCTTGCGGCATTGATCTAGCTCCACTCTGTTAGATTAGATCATTACACATGTAAGCTGACTGGGTAAGTGGAGCTTTTATGATTTTTATCTTATCAATTGTGTGACTTATATTTATGATTTGGATGCGCACACAATAGATAGCCTATCTGTTAGAATAGTCAATATTTATTGGGTCATCGAATCTTTCTTCGGATGACCCAATTGTGCAATTACATGTTTACACGCATTTCACATATTTACCATGAAAATACCTTTGCTGAATCGGATTCTAGTCAGTCTGGTTTTCATGACAAGTGTGCGATTTGGTAGCGCTGAAGGTAGGACAATGCATGCGAGCGAATGCAGAGAAAAATCACAGTAAAAAATATTGAATAATACAGTCACTATAATAATTGAATTGAAGGAGCTAACAAATTCTAACATTACAAAGTGACCAACCATAGAGAACACGCACCTTTCGAATCCGCCATTTTTTCGCTATCGGAAACAGTATCGATATCGGCTAAAAATGAACCGATATATATATGCAGCTCTCTGATCTCATCCAGTATGCTTTGAACTATGAGTTATTATAATAGTGGGTGGAACATGCATGCGGCATTTACTGCCTCATTCAATTCATTACAGTTAGTATAGTGGGTGGGTGATTGCCCATAGATGTTCATTGCATGGTGCGCTTGTGCACAACGAAATGTCTGCTATAATTTGCCTAATGGGAGAGCTAATCATCTTTGTATACCTACAAAGATAAAATGCATATTACGATGCACTTTGTTCAAGTATTTTAATAAATCCAATAGAAGTGAGTCTAGTGACACATTATCGATACATTTGAATAAAAAAAGGGATTTGGAGTTTTTGGGATAAGCGTTGCTTTAGAAGAAATAATGTTCACTGTAAATACTATTCGCAAACAAAAATGTTATCCCGTTTCGACCACTCAACAAAATTGTATTTACATTGATGTAAATTACGTGTTATTAGAATATCGCTGATGTCGACAATTTTAAATATCGGTATCAGTGCCTTTTCATTGGCATCGGTAGATCTCTAGTTTAAAGTGTAGCGATTTATTTTATTACTGTTGTGTTTAACCATGCTCGCCCCATTAAATTGCGCAGCCTGTGTTAATCACAAGTAAATTACTTCTTCCTACATCTAAAGGCAAAATTTATATTCCATGTAAAATTCAGCTCTTCTCCGTGGGCAACATAACTTGGAGTAACAACCGCTTCAAACAAATCAGCAACGTGGAATAACTACGGTTTCGAAGTTCCATGACACCCCGGATCAACTTGGAAACCAAGCCATTTTGGGTTTGAAGTATAAACAGGATTGTAACCATGAGAAGATCTTGCATTGTAAATAGCTTGCTTTAAATCGGTAACAAGGCCGTAAGCTCTTTGCCAATGTGGAGACCATCATAACAACACGCTCTAAAGCAGGTAATACTTGAACAAAAACCACTCAAAATCAGTTGCGGCGGGCTCGACAGTTCGATGAAGCGATGTGGGCGGGATTTGTACGTTGCGTCAATGTTCGTAACTATATATTTTGCCTGCTGAACAAATGTCAATATTGCAATATTTTCTCCCGTGTATTCAAGGTTCGGCATGCATTTCATCAACCGGGTACCTTTCAATTCCACCCACACCCTTTTTGGTCAGACCAAGCTGTTTATCGGTTATTTACAAATGAAGATAAACGACATTATAATTAATTACACAATGATTACACAGGATAGTGTGTTCACTTGAGGCGTCTTAAGTCCAACCTAACAGTCTGACAGTTGATATAGGTTAAAATCTGGAGGTTTCGCTTGCTGAAAAAATATTTTAAAACTATCGTTGAATTTTAGTTTGTTAAACTTAATAGTTAGTAGTTACAATTAGTCTCTGTTGCTTGTGCAGTGCCAGTGAAATATCACCTAGTTAATATATAAAATGACATTGCTATGCATACAAACAGAGTCATTTTTCTTTTTCATCAAACTTGAAACCCTGTCTTAATGTTTTTCCGACCAATAGACATATATATATGAAATTAACTCACCGAAAATAGAAAACCCAACAACGATAAAATACAATAAGCTCGTTTGTAAACAGATCCAACTACATTCAGAATTTTTTCTATACTTTTCATTCTATTTAAGAACAACCGATCCATATACCTTTCAAGAATTACTACTTTGGTCGTTCTGAATCGCCGGTGGTCTGACGTCTACCTCCCGGCTTTACGTCATTTCAACCGTAGCCTACTATTTAGTGCAATTATGCGTAATTTACTAGAATACGTGTTGAAGTCAAAGGCAACGATATTTCAGGATCGAGTTTCACAACCGGTCAACAGCTTTGCCTCGTGTATAATTATCCGCCTTCTCAACTCGTTCAATCTGTCTGTTCTAATTTTGTTAGAAATAGCTAAAGCGACCGTGTTAGAAAGGTATTTCTAGATATGACTTTAAAGCAGCAGATTTAATCAATCGACAAGACCGGTAATTACATGCACAATGTCAACAAAAAGTTGCATTGGTTAACAAGCAACGCTCCACTTCTGGAAGTACTAATTCTATGTTCGTCATAATATGCAAACAGCCATACATTAACCGAATTATCGACAGATTAGGTGCGTATCGCTTCAAAATATATTTTTGAAACTCCCCTAATAGTAATACCGCGTACAAAGTTATTGGGTCGTCATATCGCCAGCGGCATATTACAGAAAATTAATGAAAAGAATTTGTTGGCGTTATAAGAACCGAATCTAGACGAGGTAGCAAACGATAAATTATGTAAATATTTTTAATCTCCAAAATATTGAATGTGCTAAAAGGCGACCGACAAAAATCTTAACGTTTCACTGCCATTGTAATGATCGGATAAATATATTTAAATTGATAGAGTATTCGTGGAGGTATCAGCAACTGAAGTTGAAAAGATTTTTCATACCAGATAAGATAGCAAAAATATCATTATATATATGTTGAAATAGTATGTAGAAGTACAAAATTGCACTATACTATAAATGTTATTTTCGTTTACCTTCAGGTTTAATTTCAAACTCTGGTGCTGAAACCTTGCCATGTATATGCAGACATAAAGGCAGTTAAGAGTGATAAAATTGATACTATAAATACTAATATATATATTTGATGAATAATATTGATGAGACTCTTAATAATGAAGTGGGGTCGGTCTCCAGTCGAGCGTATATTTTTCTCTCTTCGTTGGCTTTCCTTTTTTCGGTAAGGAAAATATGGTCATTTGCGAATAGCTGCAGGATTTTCAATTTAGACTTCAATAACCTAAATCTAACAAAAGCATTACATAATTAGTAGCAAGTATTGACAAAAATATTGAATCGTATACTAAACAATACAAAATCGCATAGTAATGAATATTTTCAACGAAAATCTGACAAAGTATATTTTTTTATTATTCAGTTGTCGAAACCCCCTGATGTGATTTTATTGGTGTTTTCTGCTGCGCCGTCGACAGCCTTTGATGACAATCCACACGCTCAGGGCGCAGAAACCATTGTTTCTCAGGTAACGTAGTTTCATTTTTTTAAGTGAACAATCTAGAGATTTCCCGTTTTTTTTATATACATTGATTTAGTAATTCACGTATTTTGGGATCATGTTATGTAAAATCTAATTTTCAACTAATATTCGAAATCACTATAGTTAGTCGTTATGCTTTCTTTATTGCAAAAATACTTTAGTGGAATTTAACTGAAGATCGCAGTTGGATACCAGGCTTCCTTCAATCAATTTTTTACGTAGGTTTTATGCCTGGGACTATCGTTTTTGGACAATTATCCGATCGCTATGGAAGAAAGAAAATTTCGGTTATAGGTGAGAAAATTTATTTGAGACTTCTGCGATTTTAAGGTAATTAAAAAGAGCATTTGAAATATATTTTCAGGATACATATTAGTTCTGATATTTCAAGTTATCACTGGATTTTGTCAAAATTGGCAACAATTTGCAGTATGTAGAGCTATATCAGGCTTCCTTGTTGGCGGTTTAAGTGTTGTGACAACTATACTTATACAAGAAACTACGGGATCGAAGCTTTGGGTCCTGAACGGTGAGTACAAATGACTCCAATTCCATTTACTGGTACAACAGGAATTGCTTATATGTCTTTCATATGATTTTAATCCAAAATGAATAAATAATAAATGTGCAAACCAATAAGCTCGACAACAGCTATAGGACTGAATCTATTTCCAGGTGCTCTCGGTGCAATAGGATTCACGGCAAATATGTTAGCATTTCTATGGGTTGCCTATCTTTATCCTAGTTGGAGACAAATGTATTTTATTACAACTATACCGGGAATTCTTGGATTTGTTTTTTTATAGTAAGTGAAAAAATACGTTAGTAAATATATTCGAAGATATAAATCGCATTTTCTCAATATTGATAAAATATGGCAAAATCCGAGGGAAAGCGAATTCATCTCAAGCTTTCATATCGAGGATGTTTAATTTTTTTGTATTATTTAACGATGGTGAATTGGATATAGCATCGTGAAATATTTATATATCCCGTGCTGGTTCTGTCGAATGCCAATATTTTCAATACTGCTAGTCCATACATTAGTAAAGTTTATGTCCATATTACATGAAATTGATGCATAAATTTAGCTTAACACCTTTCAGCATTGTCCCAGAGTCGCCGCGTTGGCTGTTGTCTCGCGGTAAACCAGACAGCGCAGAAAAAGTGATGCAAAAACTATCAAGGTGGAATGGATCGCCCCAGACAGGTATTTTATATTATATATATATGTGATTATGAACAAATATTTTGGATGCCCGCGAATTTAAATATCACTCAAAGCTATTTGCTTACGAAAAACAATAGGTAAATCACATGTCTAGTTGCTGATACTTAAATTCTCCTATAATATGATTCTAATATTTTAGTAACGCTCGATAATTATTATTATTATATTAAGAATATGCTCTTCTGCCGGGGAACGCGAAAGAACACCAAGATAAGGGCCATCAAAATGAAAGTACGTATATATCAAACGTGGATTAAATAATTCTAGAAATACGTTTTTTTATAAAACATTCTCACAAATGAAATTCACAAACACAGAATCTTCAACATAGTAAAAATTCAGCTTCCGAAGATGTTTAAAATAGCTATCCTGCCAATGTCGACATCAATAGAGATGAAAAAGTCAATGAAGGCACGAGATGGAATTATTTTAAACTCGTTATAAATACCGTTCCTGGATGAAGTCTAGATGAACACTTGAATGAATGTCAAGATATTATATTTTTAACTTCCCAAAAGAAACATTTATATCATAGGACAGAATTGCTGAACAGTTTCAAATGTAGGGATTAAACAGAATCCCCAGGATTGACTGACCAGAGTGTCGTTGACCTACTCTGACTCGTAGTCTTAAGCCCGCGCTTTACCTCAACACCAACGCGAATGAATAGACGATAAAATCTCTATTTGATTTTATTTGTAGTTTTTCACGATACACAGAATACAATTTTAAAACTTCTTAAAACTAGAATCGGCTCACATTGAAAATATATTGAACGGTATATATGTACGTTTATCAAATAACGAATTAACATTGAAAACGTGACCTCGTGATCCACGCCATTAACAGAAACTCTTATTATTTAACTCTATACGGGTAATTATGTACGTCGTGCGGATGGGATGTGTTTAAAATTTCTGAGAAAAAGGATAATGACACAACGAAGCTATTCTTGGAAGCTATAGTTGTGTAACTTGTTCCTACGAAACTTGAAAGTTCCTACTAAACTTTCACTAGATCGTCTGATGCTACAGCAAAATTATGAATATGCACAAGAGCAAAATGCCTCAAGAGACGAGGAAGGCTCAATTATAGATTTGATAAGAAAACCTGTATTGCGATATAGAGCAGCCATTTTAAGTTTACAATGGTATGTATCATTTTTCATAGCTAAAATTGACATAATAACATCCGTGATGTGTATCTATACGACCAATCTAGATGAGAGTTATACCGAAAAGAAATATGTTGGACAAATATTGAGTATTTATATACTAAAAATAGCCATGTGTGAAATCCGTCTTCAATGTATATCCGGTTAGGTTTGTCTATATTGACTTAAATCACGTTGTATTTTCAGGTTCACCGCAAGTTTTGTATTTTACGGCATAACACTCGGTTCTGGATCATTCAGTTCAAATTTTTATGTTGCATATTTAATATCGGGATTAAGTCAGCTTCCATCAATACCTTTTACGATTTATCTCATGGAGAGAAGTTGGTAAGCCAATACCATAAAAGGAAAAAATCTCGAACTCACCATTTGTTTTGAGCTTTCATAAAAATCACGAAGTCAAAACCTGGGACAGACAGGCTGATAACTTGAATGAGTCCACCGACAAAAAGAACATCTATTTGTTCTACTGGTAAAATTAACCTACAAAATAACCGCGAAATAAAGCGAGAATCGTTAAAAGTGAATGAACGAACATATCATATGACTTTGAAAATGAGTAAAGGCATCGTGGTGAAATTATAAACCGGCCGCGGGGTTATATTTATATACTGATATATTTGATTCCATAAAAAATGGCCGCATCCATAAAAAATAAACAGCAAATGCTATATTATTAGTATATCAAGAAATTGAAGAGGTCTTGCTAAGTATACTCAGTTGATTGTATTTGTTCAATTCTTATCCACATAGTTTTAATCGATTTACTCAATACAGGGCTGGTAGAAGACGAACGCTGGTCTGCTTCATGGGTTTAGCTGCACTGTGTATGTTTGTCATGTACATCGTTTCCTTTGGCCAAGGTAATTTCAAATATTTCACTGAGAATAGCAACCTTACAAATTTGAAAATATGTTTTTTAATGCAATTACTTGGATGAAGTCGTAGCCTACTGAACAGAACAGTTTTCGTTAAGTCGAAATGATGCTTGCGGACCCACAATAAAGTGCTGTTTACGAAATTCTATAACAGGGATGGCGAACCTTTTTCAATGAATGGGTCAAAAATTATAATTTTATCGCGAAACAGAAGAGAGTGGGTCACAGATATTTAATTCACGTTTGTATCTATAAAAAACTTCTGAAACAAATCTTATAAGCTGGTGTTGGTGTAGTTTGGGCTTTACTTATGCAGCACTTCTATCAGGGACTTTTCATGGCACTCGGTTTTATGATATTAGAGTACGAAAACACGCACATGAATTACCGAAATCGTTTAGGATGATGCGTTAAATTATTTTACGGTTCTAGTGTTTGGAGGTAATTCCGCTTTGATAGTGTTATAATTTTCGATCAGCTTTCAACCACATTAAGCCACTTTTACACTGCCCCATTGTTTCATCAGATTTCTAGATTTTTATTTCAAGACTGGAAGTTTTTGTTTTCACAACAGCATTGTAGACGAGAAACTAATAAAATGCAAAGTAGCATCTAGTTCTCGTATAACCCCTAAAACAGTCTGCAGATGCACTTCCAAAAAAGACAGGCGTTGCGAGAAATGAACAGATCGATTGCATTGTTATGTCATAAACGATGTCAGGCCCAATAGCTGAATAACGGTACACAGCGGTGCATACATGCGTACAAGATTAGGGGCTTTGAAAATTACCATACCGGGCTGAAAATCAACATTTTGAACATGAGCGATCGCAGCCCTTCCTGACTGTCCAATTGACGGTACATTATAATAGTTTAGCTATTGTTAGATTAATTTAAGGCCGGTTTTATCAATTTTTATCACTGATATGTTAGCATTTTTTTTATTTTATTCGTGCCTTCGTGCTTGGCGGGTCACAAATAAAACGCAGTGGGTCACTTTGTGACCCGCGGGTCAGTGGTTCGCCATCCCTGTTCTATAACATAAACAGAATTTTAGGCCAAATAGTCTGTCATGAAAATAAACATTTAAAGATTCGGACGAAAGTAAAGTACATAATAGCGGGGCCTGGTTGGAGCAATTTAATTAACTGCTCTTCCATGTTAAATTAAATTTTAATTAATCAAATGTATTTTAGTTATATAGTGTAAATTTTGTCTCAAATGACTATAATACATACGTATTATAAATTGCTGTAAATGGAAGATAATCTGTTTAACTGGAATTAGCTATAGCCGATTGAAGAATTTTTCTATTTCTCGTTAGACATAGTAAAAAATCTTTGAGTCAGCCAAATCTTTTCAGTCGACAACAAACCCGACCAAGGTTTTTTTGGTAAAAACAGTAATATTACTTTACTAAAATGTAAATCTCGAAATAAATGTAGATAAATAGAAAGATTAAATTACCGTTTTTTATTCAGATCGCTCAAACTACAAATTGACACTTTTGGTTTTCGGAAAACTGGGAATCTGCGGAGCTTTTGATCTTATTTACGTATATACTGCAGAACTCTTTCCAACAGTTGTGAGAAACGTTGGACTGGGCTCAATGTCGTTCTGGGCAAGAGTTGGTGGTGTAATTGCTCCATTTTTAGCAAATCTTGCGGTAAGTTTTTTATGAGAAGTACTATTGTGCAGCATCTGAGAGGTAACGGAACAAATATATCGTTGTCGTTATTATTGGACACGTTTAGTGGACATAACGATCGTTTTGTTGTTATGTTGTTCTTGTTGTTATTTGACACTTTTTGGACACCTAGTGGAAATATTAAAAAACCGCTTTTCTCTTTGATCACTGGACCATTTGCTTTGAAATTTTTAGTGGTTAAAGATGGAATTTTTCTCCAGAAGTATATTACTTTTATTTATTTCAAATATTTCTGTTAGCTCTGTGAGATTTGTTTTTGTTTGCTATGACGTTACCGAATGTTCTGCGGGCATCGGACGCCGTTTTGTGTCCTACTGTACTGCTTCGCTTGGTGTGAATATATTTGTAGACTGTGATCTGACGGTACGGAAAACCGTACTGTACTGCGAACAGACGTGTCCATATATTTGGGCGTAGCTCTCTTGTTATCGTTTTGTGATTACTTTTTCATTTGAAGGTGTTTTCTGGATCGAATGACCCATTTCTTGCCTTTGGTATTGTGGGATTATTAAGCAGTGTTTTTGCTGCTTTCCTCCCTGAAACCCGAGCCAAGTTAATTCCGAACACTTTTGAAGAAGCCGAACTACAAGAAGAAGACAACGACGAGAATAGTTGTAATTCGATAACATGCTAACATTGACTATGTCCTCTACACTAATTGAATATAGTTATTGTGTATCGTCTTGAATGAATTATTGTTTATCGTGTCTTTTCTTATTTTTGTTTTTCGGAATTGAAAAAAACGGCACGACGAACTTTGACTTGACTTTTCATAACGCAAATTAGCCGTTAGAGACAAAAATCAAGTTTTATTCTTCAAACTGCTAACAAGTGCCAACGGCCAACCAAAACAAACGAATATTTAGAGGAAATGGGTCAATAACCAAGAGCAGTTGCCCAGCCTTCCCACACAAGCAGACCTGTATCATCAAATAAAACGTACAGGCGGACTACGATAGCAATTTTAATAATAACACGAAAGAAACAGAAGAATACGACAATTAGATCAAATTGCATTTCAAAGGTTATGTCATGTGCTGATTTCGCTATTGCTATGATTTTAAGCAGTACGAGCGCGGCCCCTCAATTTTTCAACTCAAATATAATAATATGGCGCGGCGTTGTGGATCATCATACGCTCGCCACCGCATCTCTGATTACTCTGCGGGATTCGCAGGTTCGAATCCCATGCGGGGATAATTGTGTGCAAGAGGATTGCTGGACTCATCGCGTCTTCCTCTACCATCAAATCCATGCTACCGAAAACAAATACCGTAACTAACTAATCCCATACCCGACATGGAATGGTAACCGGACGAGAGGTCGTGTTTCGCCATATGGTTAAGCCGTTTTGTCGACTTTCCTCTCCCCAGGGATAAATATTTAAATCCTATAACAGACCTTCGGATATCAGATTGGCGAACATTTTATTCCTCATAGACAAGCGGTCGGCAACCTGCGGTTCCTGAGCCGCATGTGGTGTGTTGTTCGGTTCCATTACACTTGAACCCATGACAATTGCACCTATGGAATTTTTTTTGTTTCACGGATAGTTGAACCCATACTAACCCTATCCCATGGGTTTTAGCACCCGCATATAGATTGAACCCGTGGATATACGCATGGGTTCAAATGTACATGGGTTCAAATGTACGGTCACCGTGTTGTTCTTTTGCTCCCGTGAATCAAAGTGGAGGCTACAGCAGATTTTTCTTAGAAGCAGTGGGGATTCGGTAAAAATCAGGGGCGTAAAGTCAATTACTATTACAGTATTACACATCACACACAGCCGGTATAAGTCGAAAGCGGTAAAATAGAGCGCATTAAAGTGATTCAGATCTTTCCAAACCACTGAAACCAGCTTTTCCTTTCATTTTCTTCTTAAACGGAACTGAATTATTTCATTATTCATAATTTCGCTTTATCTCAGTAAGAACTAAAATATAGCATCATAAGGCAGTAAGGGGTTTTCCGAGAGTTTTGATAGACAGTAGATGTTGCGGCCCCGAGTCGGTGAGTACTGGAGTAGGTTTGATTTTGACGGAAAGGATGCCAAATTGCAGAATGGCACTTTCAATGCTAAAGGTTGCCGACCCGTGTATGGACGGCGCCAGATGGAATGCTATAAGCAAATGCTTGATGAGTCTAACAGAAAAATGCTTTTTCAACAATTTGGATTTCTCGATTTTCATAAAATTTCATGTCCTAAGCAGGGGTTGTCAATCCCTCCCCCCAATAATGTCCCGAAAATTATACACTCATCTAAGGTCAAAGCGAAATTGTTTGCTAATTTCATTTCCAAATAATTGCAGTCTTGACTCTTGATTCAAAACAGTTCATTCTTTCTGAACTTATCTAAATTTAACAATTGAAGTTTGATAAAACCTGGAAATCCGCAGTCACCCGTGCAATTGCCAGGTGCAGATCCTCGATTTCTTCCGGCACTATGCCTGCCATTTTACTAAAATAATGCTCTCCTGAACTGTCTACGATTTTATCAAAATTATTTAAAGATCTCTGTTTGATTCTATATTTCTGTATTTATGGACTGATTTTATGAATTCACAGATCTTTAAATTAAGTTAATCGCAGTTACAGAGACATGGCCAAAGTTGGAATTGTTGGAAGGTAAGTCAGTAAGTGTGTGGATTATATTTGTTTCAGATGCATGGCCTTAATGGTGGAGGAAGCCGTAACCGACCACGCAGGGAAATCAAGGGTGTGGTGGCGTGCATATTCCTAATGCCTAGCACAATGAACCACACCACCGATCCACTGTATTACTATGTAGACCAGTGTTCAGTTTTTACTGCCTTTAAAACTTGCATCAACATAAGTTAATACAATCAAGATCGAGTAGCAGTTGGTATCTCAATTGCATGTCTGCGAGTTGATGTTTTGGTACCAGTCAAATTTGTCTTAATCTCTTCGATTTTCTTCTAGTGGTTTGATTGGAAAAAGTTGGGCGATGTTATTTGCTTCTGCTGGATATCAAGTTTTAATATATGATGTTGATGAAGATCAGCTCAGTAGAGCAATCGAATCTATCGGGTAACGAAATTCATATTAGGCTAGTTTATATTTTCTGGTATATTATTCATGGCACGAAAGTCCTAATATATGAGATGAGGTCATAATAACTCAATGGTGAATACCATTTTGACAATTGCGAAATATTTTATTCTGTGGCTTATAATGTCAAAATTTTCATTCACTTTTGCTTTCTTGTGATTTTTCTACAATAAATTCTGCAGATAATGTAAATTTATGTTGAAGGCAGAATATTAGGAAATATTTCTGTTCAGAACTCAACTGGATGAATTTGAAAAGTCTGGATTATTGAGAGGAAAACTCAGTGCAAAAGAACAACTGAAGTTGATAAAAACATCAAGAAATCTTGGTGATGTTGTAGTAAATTCCAAACATGTTCAGGTACTTTTGGTAATATGGGATGTCTTCTTTAATTTCTTAACACTCTTCTTTTTTTGATATATATATTTATTTATCTGCATGCCTCAACAATTAACTGGTTAACTAATCCCATACCCAACAAGGACGGGTGACCGGACGAGAGTCCATGGTTCACTATATGATTGAGCCATCTTCTTGACTTTCCACTGCCATGGAATACATAATGTATAATTGTAACTTCTTACAGCCTCAGTATTTTTTTAGTTTGTCCCTGTTTTGGTAAATGTTCACGTTCAGTCTTAATAAAAACTGGCAACTTGGCAACATGCTTCAAAATGTTTTAGAAGCATTGTGATTTTTGAATTTTGTTTCAATCAATTCATCAGTATTTCTCCCCATTTCATACTTGCTCAAATTTAATCAATGTCTTCGATAAGAAGGAAGGAGGTATCATGTGTAGTAGCAACTAGCAAGCAAATAAATATATAAGTATATTGTTAGAACATTCTGGTGGTAAACCACAAAAAAATAGTTATTCTTTTTAGGAATGTGTATATGAAGATTTGAGTTTGAAGCAAAAGGTGTTCAAGGAAATATGCAAGTATTGCAATAGTGATGAAACAGTACTATGCAGTTCAACGTCTTGTATCATGCCATCAAAATTGTTTGTTGGATTGGAAAGAGTGTCACAATGCATTATAGCCCATCCAGTGAGAGCTTATGTTATGGCCGAAATTTTTTCTGTTTTTTAGTTTTATGGATAATTGAATTTGACCGAAGTGAAACGCGCTCATTGTTATATTGTTTTGTAGTGTAATCCGCCGTCATTGTGCCCGCTGACAGAGATTGTGCCGCATCCTGAAACATCACAAGCTGTGAGGCAGCGCACTCGAGATTTAATGGAAGAAATTGGCCAAGTTCCAGTTTTATTAAACAAGGAAATAGATGGTTTTGCTCTGAATCGAATACAATATTCAGTCATCAATGAATGCTGGAGATTAGTACAGGCATGTGGTTATTGATTTTGTATAAATTTAATTTTGTTTTCATGAATTTGTATCAATAAAAAATAAAGCCCAATATCTGAATTCCACCAGCAAAGCAGTGAATATTTCTCATATATGTTTTGTATTTAGTAAAATAGAAATATCTTTTACAAATCATTTTTCTACCTCTCCATTCATATATTAATATAATCGAATACTTCTAATAATTTAAAACCTTACAGGGAGGGTATATGACAACAGAAGATGTTGATAAGGTAATGACTGCTGGCATGGGAATGAGATATGCATTCATTGGACCATTTGAAACTTGCCATCTCAACGCTGAAGGTTTTTATTTTGAATTTTTTCACACAACTTTTGTGATAGAAATTATGTGTCACCTTGCTATACAATGCTATAGACAGGTAGTGCTAGCACATTTTTCTTGGATCCGTCCATCTCATAAACCAGACTGTATCGTTTGAGTAATACATGTTCCTTCACAGACCGATCAACATTATAATTGCTAATTTCAAGTAACTTTCAGTTAACCATCAGGCACCAATGCTTAAATTGAGATAGGACATGCTATGCAGCATGCTCTAAAAATGATTCATTTATAGCCAGCTTTGGATATACCTCAATAGGACAAAACTTTTCATCAAAATTGCGTTTGTTGAAACTCTGTTGTTTTGGAAATTTGGAAAAATTGCTGATATACAAATATTATGTATGCCTTCGATTGCTCAAAATTTTCTCAGACAAAAGTTCTATATTATTCTTATGTTCAAGGTACTGTACAATACATGGATAAATATGCTGAAGGTATAAAAAGAGTTTCTTCGACATTTGGCCCAACACCAGAGTATGATAAGGATTCTGTTGCTAAAATTAACCAGGTATGATATATGTATTTGTTTTTTGGGTGATTGTTCATTTTATGTGTTTCACCCAATATTTATATATCAACAGGAAATTTGTCAGAAAGTCCCAGATACGAGGGAACAACTTGAGCAAAGGCGTAAATGGAGAGACAATGGTCTCGCTGAGCTGGCTAAGCTGAAGAAGCAACTACCAGAGTAGCTGGTCATAATTGACTATTGTCGGAAAATAAATTCGATTCGCGATAAAATCTAATTTTCGTATTTCAATTAATGTTCATTATCAAAGTGCAATATAAATAATTATTGAATCATCTTCGGTTTGGTAAATCTGTTTTTGATATAATTAATTTAAACTAGGAACGTATTTTGGAGAACTTACATAATTTCCAGTCAGCTCGCTGTTGAGTTTTGGACTTAGTGCTTGGGTTTCTGAAGAGGTCACAAATGTAACATGCATTAGTGTTTTTATGCATGGAACCCCTCAGACAAGTATTTGTACTCGAATAATTATACATTTATGTGTTGGAAGTACAATCAGAATGTGGGGATGAGATTACAGCGGCTGATGATGAAGTTGCATCAAAATTGCTTGAAGGATGTTTTGTTTTTGTGCATCAAGATTTATTTAATGTTAGGAAGCCCGAGTGGTGGCCAATGGTAAATGAGATACAGATAGCGCGTTCTGTTCATAAAAATTACTCCCTAGAATGAATGGCTTCTTGGAACTTAAGCTGAGAATTTGATCCCAGGACGTGACCTTTCAGTTAGTCAAGAGTCATTGTAGTGGAATCTGGAGGTTTCTCGAAAGCAATATAAGCCATTGCTAATGAGGTTCACTCTCATCTTGGGGGAGAGGAAAACCAATGAGACGACGTAATCATATGGTGTACCACGGCGTCTCGTCCGGTTGCTAGTACGTGTTCGGTATGGGACGAGTTAGAAGGTTATCTTGTTTTAAATGCATGGACTTGATTTGATAGTGGAGAATACCGTCACTGAGACCTGTCCAACATATGCTTACTTTTGTATTTTGGCTATGTTTATTAATATCCGAAACAGGATATTCGGCCAAATAAGACGCATAGAGATTGTGGACAACGAGTAGGAGCACAATAAGCAGGAACAGCGATCCAATAACAAGCTAGTCCTTGAACTCGATTCATATTTACAAACATCAATGCCATTAAAAAAAAATGGATTGTAGTATACAAACATTTAATATATATTATAAATCATTTTGGTTTACTAAGGGTGCTCACTCAGCGATCGGCGCGACTTTCACAGCAAAGTGGTCTCATGTTCCACTTATAAATTGCGCACCACCCACACCCAGAAATTGGTATTTGTTATATTGTTTTGATCAAGTTTTAATTTGGCATTTAATCTGTTGTACTCGATTAATGTTTATTTACACACAAATACATACAGTTCGTCAATTTAAGAAGCGAAAATTTTTGCACAATTTACTCTTCGTTTCTTTATTATTGAGTTCGTATCTATCCTTTGATACTCTGCTGAGCAATATTTGATATAAAACATGTCTTCCAATACCGCCATTAAGAATACAAATAAACCACTACATTCTAAATTAATTTGTAAAGTAAATGAAATTTTATAGAGAATGTTAAGGTTGAAATTCCACATATAATGATTCCATGGTGCTTACAGAAATAGTTTGTTCTTGAATTTGTGCGAATAGTGGCTCGGAAATCATAGCATATATCAGAATATTTACCAGTTTCAGGATAAAAACCGATACTGATAAGAATGACCAACAATTTTTCAAATTAAGTAAGGGTACACAAAAATTAAAAGTTAATGTTCAGTTTCGATGCTGCTACACCACCACGATCTAATTTGGTTTATGTTCTCATTTGGTCTTGCATCATTTTCAATAATGGATGGTTTCAGAAGACTGCTGGTTGCTAAAACAGCCCCTGAAAAATAGAAACACAGTGATTTAGAACAGTAGGTTTTGCTCAATATCCCATTTTGAACAGCAGAAAATTGTGGAATCGCTTACCACTCATATAATTAGATGGTCCTCTCCACATTCCTTTTCTTCTATTCTTACCAGTTTTGGGAAAATTAAATTCACATCCTAAGGAAAACAAAAGTATATGTAATCACGCATCCTGGGTAACTGATTGCATAGCAGCAATGACTTCAAAGCTATGTACATCAAAAACGAAAGCCAGGAGAAGACTTGAGACTTCCACCATTAAAGGAAGAAATCACAAAACGACAGTCATTGAAGTTTGTGACAATGAAGAATACGAATGACAGTAAAAATATGTTAAACCTCTTAATCCGGTTGCAATTGAAGATATACAATGTAGATCACATTGATATATTACTAAATGGTATACCAATGTTCATACAAGAGTATTGAAATTCATAGTTTGAAGATATAAACCTTTTTTGATAAGATAAACAATCAAACACTAATAAATAATGCACTTACTTAGCAAAAATAACTTATTTACTACTAACAGTATAACATCCCAAATTTTTCTTCCACAAGTTAGAAATTGGTAAAAAGCAAAAAGTCTTGATATGATTTCCATTTACCAATTTGGATAAAAATTTGAAAAATCAAGTTTCAAACCTTCATTCACATCGTCATCTTGTTCTTCTGTTGGATGATATTCATCAGGCGTGGATTGTATAAAGACTTGTTCATTTTGTATATCGTTAACATTGTTCCAATGATTCGTATGTAAACTTTTCTGCTGTTATTGAGATACATCTTGCATTAGGTAATTGTATTTGTGACTCCTTCTTATAGTTCAGGGCTTCCCAAACTTTTGAGCTCGCGGCCCCTTTCAATATATTAAAATTTTCCACGGCCCTTGTTTGCGTTAATAATGCTAAACAGCTCAAAATATGCATTTTTGATGTTTTATTGACACAGCTAGTTCTCAACCTTTAGTAGGCCTACTCAATTACAAAAACAAGCACATATTTATTCAGATTAACGTTACTCAATTATTCAGTGTAATGGGTGCGAATACTTTTTGCTGCATAGCAAGTCCAGCCTTGGCTCAATGTTTGTTTATGCAAGCCTAAATGATGAATTACGATGGCATGGTCCTTATCCGACGGCATGGTCCTTATCCGGAATTGTTCACTCTTATTGATCAAACTTAGCAAAGACCGTGGTTTGTGTGGCGCCAAATTATCATGGAAAAAACTCATGGCGCACCTATACGAAAAATATGCTGCCTGATAATAAAACACAATTTTGTCATCGTTAATATGTACTTATCTTATCTCTGCCTGGTTTTTCTTTAGAATGCTAAAAAAATCACTCATGTTCAGCAAATGAATAAACTGCAGCCTACGAAATTGCAGCATGTAGGGTTTACCTCTTCTGTTACGTAACAATATACCTGACGTAACAGAGCGTACACAACATAGAACAGTAAAATGAATTTGATTCGTATACACATCATTTGCAACAATGAGAAACAATAAAACATTTAGAATAAATAAAATATGTAATATATTTCTAGGCGCACTTAGCAAATCGCCTTCAGGAACCGCTAGCTTAACGATTATTAAAGCCGGCATTGTTATGCAAACACACGCAAATCGGGTCTTACGATCATAATATGCATTGTCATGCAAGCGCAATGATTCTACTGTGTTTCCTCGAAAATAAAACCAAGCCTGAATTTCAGAAGTTATTTTAATATAAGCGCTTCCCTTTAAAAAAGACTTATTTGATATCGCATTTTTTTTTACCTAATCCCGTGGAAGTGCGTCATTTCAATTTTCCTAGGACGTCTCAAAATTTCGTGCTTTGTGAACCTTTCAAACAACCCTTTTACAGAAAAAAGGGAAGATTATATCGATCATACATGTGATGGTGTTACAATAAAAAAGTTCAATTCTGAAAATTCGGTTTTGTGTAGACAAAGATTATTTTTCTTGGTTCAAAAAGCGTTGCGGACTCCTATCCCCTTCGCGATTTCGTTTTTATATAAAGCAGACTTTTCTACCAAGACTCATTAAATATGATTTCACTGACTGTCGTTATGTTTTGTTTGTTCCTCTATATGAAACTCATTGCAAAAAAGTCTTTTATCGAAAGGTATCAATACGTATTTCACGGGTAGTCGTAACTTGAGCATATTTCTGGAGGGCGTCACAATACAATGAAGTTCGAGAACCACTGAGTCCTAGTCGATAGCAAGAAATTTCTACCCAGGAAATTTCTACTCTTTCTACTTTTTAAATGGTTAATAATCTATATGTATTTTAACCCTTTCCGTGCGGTGGGCACGTATACGTACCAACGACAAAAGTCGCTAGATTGCGGCAGATGTACTCCACTATTTTATTTAGCAATCGGTCGCAAACTGTTGGTCTAGTTTTTCCGGGTTCTAGTTTATTGATAAGAAGTCTTCTTCGAGATTAACATAGGCAATGGTAAATCTCGCTTTCGTTTACGACGGGAATTTTATTTGCGGCGGAACGAGGGAGTGTTTTTGAAATTTATGCAAATTTCGGTGTTTTTTGGGAGGTAATAGAAGACATATTATCCCTTCCATCTACCAAAGTATTTTGAGTTAGATCACGAAATTGCTACAGCAATATTATGCTATTGTTTGCCAACCACGAAGCGGTAACAGTAAAGGATTTAGTGAATATTTCTATTTTTTATCACGGTTTGAAGTTTCAACTCCCAAGAAAAAAAATGCTTTTTTTCTATCCGGTTTGTGACTCAGACCACCACTTTTAAAAAAACTTTTTTTTTTAATCGCCAATTGCAAGCTCTTTAAATAAGCTTTCCTTCGAGCCGTCAGTGGGCAGCAGAGGATCATTAGTTTTTCGTTAGTCGATCGATTAGTTGTGGGGGTACAAATGCATAAAATCGGCGTAGCAAATACGATTATTTAATAAAAAATAAAAATCGCATGGAAAGGGTTAAATGAAGACGTGCTATTTATAAGTAATGGAAATCGGTATTCATATTTGGCCTAATAAAAAATCTCGTTATTCTCTACATCCCCCCAAAATAAGCCCTAGTGTTATTTTCGAAATAAAATTGAAGACACTGTCTTATTTACACAGTATGATGATTTGTTAACTAGGAATCGCGAAATTTTTGTTTCAAATTATTTTTAATAATTGTATTTCGAATCAAGAGACTGGAGTGTAAAATTGGTGTGACCCCTAAAATTCGTTTCGCAGCCCCTAGTTTGGGAAGCCCTGAACTAACTTACCAAAGCTGCATTGTAAACAATTAGGGAAAAGTTCATAATATACAACACTGAAGTGATCCATGACAATAAAAATTATATTTCTTTCATATCAGATTACATTCGATTGACAAATCTTATCTTTAATACCCCAATACAATAATCATAAACAAAAAAAGAAGGTCTAACATTTCTCAGGAACAATGTTTGCCTATTGCCCTGTTGATACTGATATGGCGGTTTATCATTAGGTATGTAGTACTTACCAATCTTATCTTTTTCATGCATTTGTAAATGAAATTGCAAATTGTCATTTTAGCAACAGCTTCTTCAATTTCAGCTTCTCTTTTTTCTCTGATGAGCAATTCCTCTAATTGCAATGATTTTCGAATATCAATACTCCGATAAGCCAACATCCTATATTTTGAAAATGGTAGAATATAAAGAAAATGTTCATAGACCATAATCTCTCTCATATTCATTTTAAAATTTCTTAAGAAAAAATAGGCATGCAAACAGAAAGACGGCAGTGTAAAAACAAAATCGTTGGTTTACTCACGTTAAAACATCATGAAAGGAAACAAATACATTATTCTCATCGTGCTTCGTCATATATCCATTGTTTTCCAAATGCTTGCTGGAATGTCGGCGACCAACTAAGTACATCTCATAACTTAAAAATAAATGATTTATTCTACTCGTATATGTAATAATAAATGCTTACCAGGCCAATCCAAAGCTTTGACCCAAAAATTATGTGGTTGTGATATTAGGGATAAAGAAATGCTCCCCACCATCAATTAAAGATTCTGACCCATTTCCTTGAACTTAACCAGTGCAGTTAATGTTAATGGGGTTATATTAAAAGATTGAAGGGGTATAAGTTTCAATAAAACGTAATATTTAGAGTCAGAGGAAAGGCAATTAAAATTACAATACTTTTTCAGAGCAAAAAACATGAATACACTTTTCCTAGTGAGATAACACTAGGACTTCTCATCATCGTAGGGTGTTTCAAATACCATTTCATATATATATCATATTATGTCATATTAATACACAATAATGTGGTCTTCTATAAGAATATTCGAGCATTAACCAACTAATGCTAAGCAAGATCTGTGTATATACTATGTACATTTATTTGTTGTCTGAATGTTGAAGTGTTTTAATTGTTATATTTGAAATGTATTCGGATTTGACAAATAAAGTATCGTACCTCATATGTTTCAATAGTAGACGATCCTTCTCAGGATCAATTCGTAGTCTACCCTCCAAGAGACCCAAGAGTAATTTGACCTTTATAAATATATAAAAATGATTACTCAACAAAAATATGGATTTGTGGGTCTCAACGTCAGATACAAAAAAAGAAACTGACAATGGAGTCATAGGAAATTTATCTATAAAATTGTGTTTGCATAAATAGAAACCAAATTACGAATAGCCAAAAAGGATTTGAGGATTTGGAAAAAATCACCACAAGAATCGTTTTTTCCATTTGTATTATAGTTGCACTTATTTAGGATTTGGTTGGCGAAGTTAAAAAGAATTCTTACATGTTTTACAGCAATGACTTCTTTTCTTTTAATATCAATCAAATTCCATGTTACTTGAAACATATGAAGATAATTATAACTGAGCAAAATTTCTTCATCCATAGTGTAAAAGAGTGAGAAATTTTCCATGATGATGGCTGATAAATTGAATTACAAAATAAAATTACAAAACAATGAGTGAAGTCTAAAAATAGCGGGTTGATAGTTTTTTTTTGGACAAATTTAATGATTTCTAAAAGAAAAAAAGAAGATACATGGAGCCAGAGACACCTATTTCTAACATAGTATTTGATAGTGGAATTCTCTTCAGCATGGTTCCATCATTTTATGTTCTGAACCAACATGCATTGCCATATTTAACGAATATCACAAATTCTATTCGAATCAACGATCAATATTGACTTATTGTTCTTCAATTTTCTCTAACACATCTTACTCATTCCATTTGGAAAAAAGCCGGTAGCGCCGGCAGATGAGTACATGCAATTAAAATAGACACTAGGATCCAAATCTATGAAAAACACATAAACCAAAACAGGGCCTCAAGGATAAATCATTTTTCTCGGACATAGCATAGTGCAAATGGGAATTCAATACAATACTGATAAAAAATAAATTCTACTAAATTGATTCAATTTAATAATGCGAGAATAAAAATATCTTACCAACAAGCACATTCAACATTATGTATGCAATGATAACATAAAAACTACAGAAATACATTAAAGCTGCAGATATATTCCCACAATCAGTTTCCCAGTAATTATTGGCCTCTGTACATCTTGGTGGTTGAATCTTAAAAATACAATCATAAAATTCCATTCTACAGATATGCCTTATGTTACACCTATTTCATAAAACTATTCTATTATTAACTTCAATTTGAGGTATTTCGCATTTGTGGGGTGTTGCTTGACAACTCCTCTAAGACAAATAATAATGATTATCAGGAATTTTTCGGTAATAAATCTGAGACCCTGACTCTGAAATGCATCCTATGTCTCTGTTATTTCATATCAATGCTACTTCGTAACTAACGGCAAGAGACCCCAAACTATGGTTACTTGTATTATACCGAATATAAATAATAACAAACTCACCATACAATCATGCATTATTTTGTTCCAATCCTCTCCAGTAACAATTCTGAACAAAACTGCTATAGCAAGAGAGGCTGAACCAAAATTGGCATGCCGGTCTATATTTTCACCATATCTGAAAACAGTGTATTGAAAGGAAAACTTAGTATCATGCAATAACATTTTAATTGTATATCCCAATAAATAATATCTATATACATATAAATATTATTCAACCAAACACTAGTTATAATAAAGGACAAACATATTCTGAACAGTTCTTGATGCGATGTAAAACAACTTGTTTAATATGTGATCATTATAAAATAAAACACAGACCACAAAATCCATTTGTTAACTTGTGGGTCAAGGACTATAAATTTCGACAAACTACTCTCATGGATTGCATGAATTGTATTCTTAACACTAATTGGTTCATTAGCCCTTCCATTGCTTGTATCATTCGCAGGTTGTGTGCAACCATTATTCCTATAAAAATGACCACCATTGCCTAAATCGATGTTTGACTCAAAACATTTTTTTAAATAGAAAGTGACTCATCATTCGAACTTGGCAGGCCAATTAAAATATTGAATATATTTAAAATTTGAAAAAAGCAATCTCCAGGTCATTTTCAAATGAGAAATAGATTTGATACCAATATCAGCTTAAAACAATATGAAAATTCAATTCGGTTCTCATCATGAAAACACTTAACATTTTCATCTTTATCCTGAGAGAGGAAAGTTAATATGATCGCTTAATCACCCATGTCAGGTATGGGAATAGTTAACCAGTTATTTGTTCAAGATGAATGGACTTGATGGTGGAGGATGCCGTAACTCATCGTTGGTTATGTGAACCACCCTACGACAACAAAGAGTCCAGTGATCCTCTCCACTAATTTCGAACCTGAGATCCCATGTAGGGTAATCGGAGCTGCGATGGCAAGCATATTGCCAATGATCGGAACGATGCGCCAACAGCATAAGGCATATTATAATTCTCACTCTTACTTTACTGTTCCAAATAAGACAACTCCAGCAAAAGCGTAACACAACATCAAAAGGAACATTGCTCCAATAATAAAGAATGATTTGTAAACGCTGACAGCAACTGTCATCAACAACATTTTTAAAATTGCCTGAAAAAGAAATCAAATTAGTGTTCGTAGACCTAGATAATGTGGCAGTAATAAATAGCCTACTTCACTCTTTGATATAAAGTAATATGAAGGATACTATATATTATGCTATACATACATGCTTTCCACATATGCTTAGGAAACGCAACACTATCAGACAAGCTCCTGATTTGTATGCGACTGTTTTATCAGAAAGTAAGCAATAAGCAAATGACCAAATAATTCCACCAACAGTGATCAGAAAATCATATCTGTTAAAATAAACATAATGATATTTAATCTACCGGTATGTGTATCGTCCTAAAAGTTTCTTCTTTAAAGCATCAAATATGAATGGCTATTGTTTTAAAAACAAAACATAAAATAACTCCAGCCAGAAAGAATAAAATATATAAAGAAAAAATAGATAATGCAACAACATAATTATGATAAGAGACAGGTATATTGAGTGGCTTAAAACTAATCATGATGACTCATGTGCACGATGGTCGGATATAGTGCCACACATCCCACACTGCAACAGCTTTTTTTATCAATTTCACCATATACAAGTGATGCAAACATAGAACGGATTTAAATTTTACAGAAATCAATATGCTCAAGTTTAAATAAACCACTTCTCTCATACCTGTTTCGCCAACTTGTCATCATTCCCATAAACGTCATTCCAATCCATTTGATGAGAATTTCAATTGTATATATGCAGTGGAATATAACACATGATATGGCAAGATATTGCACATGAATGTCTTTCGTACTAGTCACCCACTAGAAGCATTGAGGAATTTGAAAACTGATGAATGTGAATTTTAGGGATGACAAGAGATAGCCAGTCATTACATGTGCAACTATGGCATATGATCATATTCATAATACCACTGTCAGAGCATGTGATGATGGCATTTGTAACAGTGCTCAAAATATGTTGTTGTTAGCATGCAATTTCACTCATTGCATATATGTTAACGTAGAGAAAATGCACATATCACAGGAATAGAATATTCAAATCAATTTGTTATTAGGTATATTTAATTTTATGAATGATTGATTTAAAAATGAGTTGGAAAATTTTCATATTAAAAAGAATCATTTGAGAATTTGAAAATGGATTGTTAACAATAGACTTCATTTAATTTCTGATCTGCAGAATATGGAAAACCAAGACGTATATATTAATTTTAAATCAATCTCTTACAGATATACAATGATTTATGTATGTTGTCTGTTGCACATATTACAATCCGATATCACATCCCATATTTTGCATTCGAAAATGATATTGCAAAATACTTTTGATATAGTGTTTTAGCAAACCTGCTTCTTATGTATCGCATTTAGTCTTGTAGTCTAACTGTGAAAGATTTGACACATGCACCAGATTTACTATTCACTTATGACAATCCATATAACTTCAATCAAATCTTGATGTATTCTTATAAAGCACAATCGTAATACAAATAAAAAATAGGCATCACCTTCATACAAAGAAGCATAGATTGTAGAAAAATGCAGATAGTGATAAAATATTTGAAATATTTGTGTTGGGTCAAATCATAAGCTTTTGCTCGAAATCCATCCCCTGTTGGCCTGAAAGTGAAAATATGATGAGACCTAAAAATGCAATACACATGGCGCGGCGGTGTGGCTCAACGGGCTAAGCGTTAGGAATACGCTCGCCACCGCACCTCTAACTACTCTGTGTGGGTTCGCAGTTTCGAATCCCATGCAGGGATGGTTATGTGCGAGAGGATTGCTGGACTCCTCGCCGTCGTTGGGTGGTTCACGTAACCGCTGGTCGGTTATGGCTTCCTCCACCACCAAGTCCATGCTTCCGAAAACAAACAATACAGTAAAACTAATCCCATACCCGACTTGGAATGGTAACCGGACGAGAGGCCGTGGTTCGCCATATGGATAAGCCATCTTATCAGCTTTCCTCTCCCCGGGGATAAATATGTAAATCCTATCCACTAAAGAGATGAGTGTATGGTTAAGTTTCACATTTAGAAAATTGCTGATTTTTCTGAATAACAATCATATAAAAGGCCTACTAATGCATACCTATTTGAAATGAATTGAAGTCATTAAGAATCAATGCTTGGACCAAATTACTTTCAAAAAGCAAAACAAACCTAGGTGGTAGATGCAGAGGTTGAGCAAGTTTTAAACGACATTTCAAGTTTTCCCATCTTTTTTGATCAACAGTCAACAATGCAGTACCTTTGTTTTCATTGTAATTTGCAATAACAACACCTTTGAAAATTCAAAATTTTTGCTTGCATGGCAATATCATAATATTGTTTTTTTTATAGTAAATAACAAGACGGCCGTGATCACAATTGCAATTAATCTGCATCCAGTAGTTCATAGTAGTAATTCATTTTAACCATTTTGACTAAACAAAAATATGCACTGTGCAAGTTAAGAAATTGAAGCAGAATATTTTTGAAAAGTGAGTCTTCAAAGGCAAAAAATAAATGTCTGTTACAAATAATTATTGGTAAATTCCAATTTAAAATTAGTCGTAAAAATATTTCGTTTAAATACCGTAAATTCTGAAATCATGATTATTATAAAATAGGGTAATTTTTTGTAGTAAAATTTATCGATTTTGCATTAAAAGGTTGAATAAGATTTCAAGAATTAAAATTTTGCATAAGCTATATCATGATGTTGTAATAGACACAACCTAGACTGGGGGTGCAGTTTTCAGCAAAGGTCTGTTGACAAAACTATATTCAACTCTATATTTGAATTATCATAGGTTGGAAGGAATACCGAAACGATGACAATGCTTAGTTTACCTTTGATGGTCCAATGTTAAATGTTTGAATATTTAAGGTACTGGTTTTTCCCCAAGGAATGGGCTTGAGTTAAGACTAAGGTCTACCAATATATCAGAGTAGTCCATACCTAGGCTCACGGACCACATATGGCCCGCTGCTTCATTATCCGTGGCCCGCGTCGCATTTGCGTGAGCGAAAATAATAAATCGCATTTGGTATTGTTTCGTCATAAAATTACCCAGAAAAATATTTTGACATTTTGTTACGTCTGGTGAGTGAACGTACCACATCTTCTTGGCAAAACCTTCCATCTTATATACATTCTGTACATTTTAAACCTTATCTAAGGTTTTGTTCGCTCTCCTGATTTCATAATCAGTTTTTATTTATTTATTTTTACCATTCATTTTATTGTTTTGCTGATTATGGAGTCGAAATAAACTTTACTTATACTTATACTTATCTCTAATGTCACTGAATTGACTAGTGTAATGGCTGGCTGAGGCAACTAGCAAAATTGAATAATGTACTCGGCTAGTTTAAATTGTTAACTGGCTTTCCATTTTTTGGTCTGAAATATATGCCAAAAAAATAGGCTTCAAAGAAAACTAAAAATCGAATGAGGAACCTATAAAGCCTAGGTTGGCTATGCCTGATAACTAAATATTAATGTAATGGCCGAACAATATAATTCCTGTTGGGTGTTTTTTTGCAACCAGACTAAACAGTATCTCAAATTTGGTAAAATTCAGTAATCAATCAATCTGTAGTTATTTGTAAGTTATTTGCAAACATGAGTTTGAAAAGAAAGCTGACCAGTTCAAAAAGATTTGTGACTGGATATGAGAGGGAAAATACCACAATGTTTGCTTAATATGTCTGCAAGTTGTGCCGGTTACTAAAGCGGCATGACATTTTCTCCTCATGGCACTTTCTTTGTTATGAAGAGTTTGATAATTATCAATGTGCTAGGACAATAAAAGCGTTTGTTTTGTATTGCACTGTTTACCTATTCTTGACACTATTGTGGCCCGCGAACAATACAAAAATAATAGTGTGGGCCGCGAGGCCGACAACCTTGGACCACCCTGGTCTATATGATATGTTAGAAAGTCTGTAATACAAATGTAATGTAATACAAATGTAATCCGTAATTCCCAATCAAAAGTTCTCCTGGTATTTTACAAACAATAAAAGAATGAGAAAATATTTTTTTATATTGCAAAATACATACCGATAAATAAAGTCAATCCGACCATACTCCCAAGAAATACAAATATATGAATGTAGAGAGCATGTGCCTAGAATATAGAATAGTAGCAAATTGAAACATGCTTTAAAATAGAAAAATACTTTATCAATGTTAAGTATCAAATACAGAAGAAAGTAACATGAAATGTCATTACACTTGTTATATATGTATGATTTGTTTATTAACAAAATTATGAATTTAGGCAAGCACCAGTATGTATTTTTTAACTGAATATTAATAATGCTAATAATAATACGAACCATGTTCAAACACTGCAGAATAAGCCATTAGAAAGCGTAATGATGTAGAAGGACACAACAAGTCAACAACATACATAAAACGAATAACTGTAGAAATAAAAGATATTGATATATACGCACATCAACAAACAATAAGAACAATACAAGTATTTGGCCAAAAATCAGTGATAAGAAAGCACAAACTTGTAGAATTTGATATGGTACTAGTTTATCTATCACTAAAAATGTAGGCTACTAATCAGAAGAAGCTCTACATATTAATCTAAACTACCATGCAATGAAAGTGATGTTACATTAATATAGTTTTTAGAATCACCGTAGTGAAATGTAGGTATGCAACCTAAAATAGTAAATATCAAAGTGGACAATATTCACAGAAAACGACAGCAATACAGATAAATCAAAAAATATTGATAATCTGAGAAATAGTGGTAAGGGAAATACCAACATGAACATTCACCACTGAATTCATATGCAATAAACTTGACACTACAATAGTATTTCTCACCATCCCAAATCGTTCCGTAAGTATATCTCTGACTTCTATCCACCCTTTGAGTGAAAGCACTTCAAACAAAGTCAACATTGCAGAGCCAATTGTATCAAAGTTGAAATTTCTGGGATTGGTCCAAACTCTAGGTACCATGAAACCTACCACAAAATGAAAATGTACAATTTGACCAGGTAAAAAGCAATAGTATTATTCTTATCATTTGACAAACCTAGTACTCCCACACAGTTACCAATTCATATAATGAATGGGAATAAGTGGTAATAACAGACTGTTATCGAGTGCTCTACTACTGTTACCTCATAAGACAGGCTTGTTCAAGTGCCTTTTCCCTGACCTCGGGTATCAAGAAGACGGTGTCTAAAGCTCTGGTTCACTCTGATTAAGGCAAAAGGAAAAAAACAGACCACAGTGTGTATTGTGCTTAGAGGTTCAGAGGAAGCTAATCTGTGGCGTCATATTGAGACAAAACATAGGAAATACGTCGACGAAAGTCATGAATTTTTTGAGGGAGGTAAATTACAGTGTACAGTAAGACACTCTTCTTTATCCACGTCTAGAAAAATTGTGTGAGCAAAGACGCAAATGTTAAGCAATAAATGGTGTTTTCATAGTTGCTTTAATATATAAATCTAGATAAAGTCAACAATTATTTATTTTTTCGATCTCACCTCGATTCATTTTGCTAGGAAATGGTCTGTGGCCCAAAAAGGTTGGGAAACACTGTTTCAAATGCATGGAAATCTTGTATGTTTGGCAGATGACAAATTATAAAATGAAATGTTATGGTTTTTGACTTTGACATAATAATGAGTACAGAAGGACAAACAGTAAGAAAAATCTAAAAACCTCCACATCTAATCTTTAAAAATTATATCGTTTAGAGCAATTCAATACCTGGAGGATCATCAGAGTCAAGATTTAATGAATTAGAGATCCAAACAGCTTGGAAAAAAATTCCCTTGCAGTCCTCTTTATTTGATTTAGTACGATCATTGCATGCAGCCAATTGATTTCCATACATCTCAACACCAAAGCTCGCAAAAACAAACATAAGTGCAACTTGAAGAATTGCAACCTGAAATATGCAAATGAAACCTCAATAAAACTGAATTTCGTACCTCAATTTAATGTGATGAATGAAACTCTGATTTGGTGATCTTTCAATCCAGGAAAAATAAATGTCTAGCAGTTTATTTGGACACAATAACTCAAAAAATATTTAAAGAAACTAGTGATGGTTTAAAATTCTTGGATGATGATGACAGGAGTGACAGAGGAAGATGAACACATCAAATAGAATGAAAAATAACTGAGTGGGAATGAAGTGAAGTTTTGTGACAATGCCATGACCAGGTCAGGTCCAGGAAATGGGTATTTCACTTTCAGAGGGTCATCAGCGAGGCATTTATATCATCTCCTGTATATTCTATGTCAATATTGGCAAATTTTTCCATGAATGATGTATCAGCTTCATTTCTTACACATTTAAATAAGGATACAAAGTGAGACAGACGCACATGATTTTGTGACAATTTTTGCTTTAGACTATTGCTGTTGGTCATCAACGTTTAACAAAGCTACTATATAAAACATGAAGAATTGCAAATATCAACTTCATTTATCATCTCTGCCTAAAGAAATATTTATTTCTCAAACTAAATTTTGCAATATTGTTTTTAAAAACTTCACTATGAACTATGTTAAAAATCACTCTCACCATTATAATATCTTTAAATCCTCTGAATAGCTCAATCACAACATTTCGTATTTGAGGAACAAGTCGGAAAATACGAAGTGGTCTCAAACAACGTAACACAAGGAGCATTTGCCCACCTAGATATAAAATGCATCAATTTGATCTATCCACATCCTTGAATATATGGGCAAATCACAAAACAGGTGACAGAACTAAATCTTCTACCTAAAATTCTATTTCAAAGCAGTTAATACAAAATTTATTGGCAAAATTATAAAACAATCAGAAAAGTAATATACGATTGAAAAAGACAATGATTATTTGAATAAACTAAATTCAGTCATGAACTTACCACTTTGAGCAGGAATTGAATTTGACAATGTACAGAGAAATGTCAATGAAACGATATAGATGAAACAATCCAATATACCTCCAAAATCTTTCAAAATTGGCTTAGGAGTAAAAAACAATCCCCCCGCAGTCAACTGTGAAACAAGATATATGAAGTAAGTCAATTTTAATAAAATAATTCCTATTGTCTAGAACAGTGGTCCTCAAACTTTTTAAGCCATGCCACCTTTTTAGAATTTTCCAAGTATCGCGCCCCACCTCGAAAATACCTAGCTAACAATATGCTACAAATAATTGTCTACGCCCCCCTTGTAGGGCGCGCCCAACCGTTCGAGAACCACTGGTCTAGGAAGTTTGTAAACATGAAACAAAGTTTGCTATAAAAATAACATTATTTTTAAACTTTCTATATCCTGATACAACCAAATCATTTTTACTTTGAACAAATTTTTTCTAAGTAAAAGCTTTTCTCACATTCCGTTTTCTCCAGAGATTTTGACTCTGCTGAACCAACTTTTGCATTTGAAAATGTTCATTGTCATGTTGTTAAAATAAAGACACAGTGGTACACTGCAGTTTAGTTAAATGGTTTGAGTTGGACATACAGAATATATACTGAGTTGGATAATCACAAAATATTCTGAACCTTGAGAAGTAGTTCAATGCTCATGCATATTACGAATGCATATTCAGCATAGAGAAGCATTCCACCCTGGTTTACACGATGTGTTGGTGTCTCCAACATCATAAATCCACATGAGCCTATTGTTACCAGAATCATTATCCAATCAAGATAAGTGACCAAACCTACAAGATTCCTGGAAAAATGTAAAAAAAACATTCAAAGTTTCAAAATAGATGATAACAGGAATCCCCTCATCTGAATATTATATGTATAATAATTGCATTAAATTGTTCTCACTCACAACATGGTCTGGAAGAAATGTTTCTTAGCCTTGTTGCTTTTCATATCAGACTTGAACTGTGCATAAACAAGTGTGTGACATAATCTGAAATATAAGTAAAATATGTGAAAAATATAAAAAAAATATGTGAAAAATATAAACAATTTTACGTGGTTGTAAAGTATAATGTACTTCTTGTAATTTTTTGTCTAACAGTCAAGAAAGTGTTTCACCTTCTTATTTGACTTTCTCTGGCAACAAGAAATAATGGAGTATCAAAAAGTGGGTGATTTTCTCTGAGTTCTCTCTCTTGTCTCTCACGTTTCAATAAAGCTTCTTGTCGTTTCAAGTGCAAAACTTTGAAGTCAACATCCTGGAGAGAGTGCTTCTAAAAAACAAGAACAATAAGACATACAGTCAGTTCATAAAATGATATTCTATAGAAGAAAATCACAAAAGTCAGGATATATTACTGGATAACGAAGGACGAGACCAAATAACAGTAGAAAATAAGTCACATGTTACTGGTTGATAGACTAAAAAGCAGCGCTACAACCAACACACGAAGGTTGAAAGTGTGTGACATGAAGTATTGTAAATAAATGCATTCGAATTCTTTTCACAGTGGTTTTGTACCCATACCCCCAGCTCATTGTCCGCTGGTAACAGGTGACTGATAATGACCAGCTGTGAAGGTGAAGGTGAAGTGACTACATGCTCCATAAAGTCAAATGCTCAGCCTCAGCTATATTGATGGGTAACAAATAAGTAATCATGTTGATAGATATTGTCACGGCTGTTGCTAATAAGATGCACATCATTCAATGGTGCCATTGCATGAAGTTGCAGTGAAAATGAATGATGTAATCAAAATGTATTTCACTACATAGAATACGTTTGTTCAAAATCTCAACGTCACACTGAATTGTTTATCACAAAACTTTATTCATTCAGATACAACAATTTATCTGACAGAATCAAACAATAAAGCGGGGTATTAATCGCACATAATCACACTTCACAAACATTAATCACTTTTCAAAATATCAAACATTCGTTAATATTGTTTGTTTTACTATATTCAGATATCTGAATTCTGTACCAAACTTCTTACCGCTGGATGTATATTTTCATGGTATGAATTTTCGTGCAAGGCCCAGGTAAAATTTGATGACATCTATCACTATTCTACATTTTTACATTGTTGTTGTTTTCGAATTACATTGAAACACTACAACTTCTGTTTGTCTGTTTGCTGGATTATGGAAAGGAAGCAATCCCGAATTCGAAATTATCTTGCTGTACTCACACACAAAATGGCTTCAAAAGTTTTAGTATATACTCTAGAAAAATGCACGATTTTTTGCAAGAAGTAAAACATGGAGTGCCTGAAAACTTCTCCGATGTTTGTTTTCTGGTGTGTCTGTCCCTGATTGGAATATAGACAATATTCCAATGGAGATGATACATGTGTCCCAAATAGAACCCAAAATAGGTGAAATAGTGGAAGCTAAACAATTGTACCCATCCCATTTAACTGTAATAAAGATATGTAATAAATGAATGCTTGATATAGTGTGTAGCTATTCTGAACTCTTTGAAAAGTTTGAGAACCACAGATTTAACTCATTTATCTTGATACAAGGTTGATCACTTGATTGCTTTCTACAGCTATAGTTATTTATATGTATTTATATGTGTGTTTAGATCTGTATCATGAATGTCATAGCCATTCTGTTTTAAATATTGACAAACACTAATTGGGTATGATCATTGGTAACCCATATATATTTAATGGTGCTATGCTGATTAGGTTTGAATTATTTATTTCTCAAGTTTCTAACATTAGGATTATCTGTTCTGATAAAGCCTCAATTAAATGGAAGTTAACTGGTATATTCTTGCTTTGTATTATGCCTGCTTGCATTTAATTCTTTTAATGATTGTCTATTATTGTTCGTCAGGTAACCATGTTCAACGGATTAACATATCACCTTACATAGCATGCACCAATAGATAATACCCATGTACATTTGATCACCCACATCACAAGAATTTTTCAATCTCCAAACATAATATGCATAGCAGGTTTTCGAAGGGTTTTCACACAATTTGTCTGTTTTTAGTTAACTATATATCTGTATCAATTAATATGTTGTCTAATGTATTTGTCACCTAGCAATTTGCCAATCATGTAGGCGGTTATTTGAAATTAAACTACCATGCTGATATAATTTAATAGTCTTCACTTTTTTTTAATTTGGATCCCAAATACATTTGGGAGAAATATGTTCATTTTATTTCAGGATATGACTTGATATAGCAAGCAAGGGAAATTTGCAAACTTGCAGAAATCCAAACTAAGCATAATCCCCAGGTTGTTGAGAGCTAACTGGTATGTGTTCTTTAGAATGAAATAATCTGAACATGGAAATATTTTGAAGATGGATATGTACCGGTAATTTTAAATTGTGATCCATGTTGAACCCAATTGAATATCTAGGTAATTATTGAAAATCTCCGCACCTCAATATGACCAATACAAAATATATTAAACTTTCTTCTGTAAATTCATACCTGAAATGTAGGAATGTTTTCAATATCAGGTTGGCGAGCTTCTTCAGCAAACATGACACGACCAGTACGAAATGATGGCCTGTCTTGTCGTAAGGCATACTGGGGCTTCAATAGTGTCTGACTTGAATTACCATATAATTTTCCATCAACTGTGTAATAATGAAATTGTTCATACCACCCAAAAACCAATGAATAACTCAAATGGTCACACTGCAGCAGTACAGCAGCATGCAGGGTTCTGCGATACAGTAGGATTCCACCAGTACAGTCATGGGATTCCGCAAGTTTACATTCAAACCCGAGTGTTGTTATTAATATATGTACATCATTTGAATAGAATTAAATACCTATTAGCTTTGCCACCATTATTCAACTTGCTCCACTTTGAATATTATTTTACTTTGCCTTTATATATATGTTTATAGCTTATACAATTCAGACAATAAAACTATTGCAAATGACTGAATTAAAGTATAACTTGTAATATCATCTCTGCATATTTTATGCCTATACCACTATTCATTATATCAAACTTACCAATGCAGTTAAATCTTCGGTGTTCAATGCACTTCTCCATTATATTTGAATACATGTTTGGCTTCGTTGCAGATCCACTCAATATAGACATCTCTGATTTCTCACTAATGCACATCTGAACAACCATGCTACATATGTGAACAATTATAATTGAAAAACGGCAGAAGTTTAAACTTCCATTCAGTTAGTTTTAGCTTTTGTTATAGACATTAAAAACATTTTTGCCAGAGTTTAATAGATTCAAATTTGATAGGAAATGTGTGAAAGCATTGCTGTGGTTGTTATAAAAAGTTGTTTGCATATGTTCAGTAATGGTTTCATGCACTATTTGAAATCATCTGCATCTGTAATAACAACTACAGCAGTGGTTCTCAAACTTCTTGGTATTGTGACGCCCTTCAAAAAATATGTTCAAGTTGCGACTCCCCACGAAAAACGCTTTAAATACCATTCAATTTCACCTCTTTCGCAATGAGTTTTATTTAAATTATGCCTGAAGAAAAAATGCCATGGGGTCAATATTGAATATTCGCTTGAGCCAAAGCGCAGACGAAGTGCTGAACGTTGCTCAACATCGCTCGATATGTCCTTGTTCATAATAGGATTAGGAGGAATTATTGACATGCATGACGCAGGCGGTGTGATGTCATAATTGGAACAGATTATCAAATGATCTGCGACATTAGAGAGATTATATAATTAAGGTTGAACGTTACAATTTTTAAATTTGTTATCTTCTCCAGTTCTCAAGCATGATTTCAACGAGAATTACACTTTTTCTATGGAACGCAGTTACAATTCCGCAAAAGAGGAAAGTTTTGCGACGCCCTAGAGGAAATGAAACGACGCACATGTTTGCCGCGACGCCCACTTTGAGAACCACAGAACTACAGTAATAACTGTTGCCATACAATACATACAAAACAAAAATGGGCATCAAGGCCATAGGCTACAACATATATATAAATTGCGATCTCTGATATCATCTTCCTCTAAATAACACTTGCAACGTCGATTTATCGCTCTATTAATTTTTGAAAAATAAGAACTAAAACCTTCTAATAAACAACAAAAGACAAGATGAAAAAATTACTTTTTCCAATCCAGTGGCAATGTAAGACCTATTTTGTTGCTGCATCCTACATCTTGATCTCCTACGTATTGTATTTTTTGTCAGCTCAGTCCTTTTGATATTCCGTGGTGACACAGCCCCACCTGTCAATTGTACTCGCAACCCACTTAAAATTGCGGCTCCAAGATAAGGTGATCGAGTAATTTTTGAAGCCAGAGAAAGATTCCTTTCAGTTCTATAAAGATGAAAAAACAGCAACGATTAATCAAACAGGCACAAAAGTTGCAACTGCCATGTAATTTTGGGAATAACATTTCATTGACAAGATGCAATAAGGAAATAATTGCCATTTTTCTGCTATATAAGGCGTTAATAGTGAAATCTTTGTAACCATATATGGTTCTAGAATTATAGGATTAATATTTAACACTCTTACATTTCAATCATTTATTTCCCTAAACCTCATTTTAAAAAAAGTTTTTAAAATACAAATTTTCAAGCAAATAGTAAGTAAGTAATGTTGCTTTAATGACAGGAACACAAAAATAATTACATAAAGACGACCAAAGCAACCAAATAGTCTTACTGAGATTTATTTATTACAGCAGTAGATGTTGTAGTAACTGATGCATGATTTATTTCCAAAAACTGTCTCATGTAACTCTCACGGACACGAGGCAGTTGAAATTCACCAGGTAGATGGGATGAAACACTCACCATTTGAGGACGATTTCTGTAAAATTTCAAACAGTCAATCAAAACTCAGATCAAGAGAGGATATCTACGCATTCTTTCTGGTTACCATGTACCGGTAATATGAAATTAATTGCATTTCAACTAAAATTCATTAATTTATGCATTGCAAATTTTTTTATTTTCATCAGATTGAAGTGAATATCAAAAGTGATACAGCCTTGAATGCTTTGAATACAAATGAAAAACACTTTAAATGATATTTTAGATTTTTTTTCTTACAACAGATTAATACGTGGCAGTTCGTCTTAATTCTGATCAGTTTATATTTTGCAGATGAAGTGCTTTTGGGCCATTCCAAGCAAAAGTCGAATTCCATCAATTTTTTAAAAAGTGTAGTAAAGTAATTTTTTTTATTTTTGATATCAAAAGACATTGGAATTTATTGGACTGCATTCATTTCATCGAACAATTTAAAATTTCACCCAGGTTTTTGATGGTTTTTAAAAAATGGCCTGAAATGTAGAAATTTTGGTATAATTGACATATTTTGTGATGATTCCTGGCACAAAGGGTTTGATTATGTGGTACAGTTATTTCATATGGAATTGACGCACTGGATTTAAGTTAATAAAGTTTAAATGTTTGCAGTGCTGTAGAACATTTCTTCACCCATTTAACGATTTATTACCAGAATTTTAAGAGATGATAAATGCCGCTATTCCGAAGTGGAAAAATGTCCTGTAGTGTCACGTCTTGTAGTGTCACATACAATATGCACATTATTGGCATGGATTTACAGTGTTACATTAAGTAACTTGAGCAACACATAAAGGGGTAGTTCAGCTACTGCACCAGAAAATATTATGGGCTCCTACTGTACCATCGCAAAAATTTACAGCACAACACAACGTACTGTTAGTGCATGATGGATTTGCCGTCCTGTAGTGTCACGCTATATTTTACTATATTATTTTTATCTACTAAGTAAGGTTGGGTGTAACTTTTGTGGAATTTTTTACATATTCAATAAAGCAACTGATTGAACAATGAAACAAAACATGTAGCTGAAAATGTGAAAATATATTGAATCTAACATCTTGCAAAATTTCTGAAATTGTCCCGTAGTGTCACTTGGAATAGCTCTTTTAATGACACATTTCATTTCTCCAACCAAGCATGAAGGGACAGTAATTTCAACATTTACAATCAGTTCAGGAATTTCGAATCTGCAGTCAAGATCAAGGAGGAACGGTAAAAGAGCCAAATGATAAAAAAAAAAAATATTACCTTATTACTGTTACTCCACATAAAAATAATATGCATTGATATCACACACACAATTGGAAGTGTTTACTTAAAAAATTTAAACTGTGAAACAGTATACCGGTATTCGTTTTTCTATAGTATTAACTTTGTGTCTGCAGAATTAAAATTAATGAACAAACAAGCTATCATTAACTTTGAAAGAAGAAACATACGGAAATCTCCCAAATACACGTAATCTCCAAGGTAGCTTTTGTTTTGTGTCAACACTCTGTTCATTTATCTTCAATTGTTTAAATCTCTGATGGAATTAAAGCAAAATAAATGTTAATCTATAAATGTATGACGAAGCAATATGGGGTGCAACTATGGAACATTTGAAAGCAAATTAATCAAGTGAACAATATCTACAACTACAGCACTTAATGAACTACATATCATAATTTGTAAAAATCTTCACTGACTGTTGTTAATTTTAATGAAATGATTCAACATGCTAAAACTTTGCAAGTAGTTTGCATATTGATGCTAATTGTATGGTCTCAGAATGGTCATTTTGAATTTTGTAAACTGTACCCAGTCGAACCACTTATATGTTCTCAAAATAAATTAAAAGTAGAATAAATCAATAAAAGGTCTAAAACTAAAAAGCGAATAACTATTTGATATAAAATCAATATAGATCTACCTTGACATTTTCATCCAACTCCAAGTTGTCAAGAATAACTGCAACAAATAAGCTGACAACAACAGTTGTTGTAAAAAAATGATAAAATATGAAGTATATGGCGACCTGTTATGTTTGAAAAGATAATAAAGATTGAAGTTACGAATGAATATTTCCATATGTCGGAGTTGAACATATATAACTTTTAGTACTCACCAATGCTCGAACTTCAGGACTGACAGAAAACATTGTTGCCTGCATCACATCGACCCACCCCTCTTGTGTTAAAATTTGAAACATTGACATAAAAGCCTAAAACACAAATCAATGATAATAAGCAAAAAAATGTATACGTAATATCGACATGAATAACAGTTCCCATAACCATAAGCGAAAACAAGTATAAAAGATTTCAATGTAATTCAAGAGTCTTACTGTACACTAACATAAACGTATTTCTGCAATATTTTGTTTGCTGAGCCGAGGCCTCTCATCGGGATACCAGTCCATTATAGGATTAGTTAGCCAGTTATTTGTTCCAGATGCATGGCAGTGGAGGAAGCAATAACCGACAGCGTTTACATGACAGGGTAATCATAGGTGCAACTGCGAGCAAATATCTAACGCACGATGCACCATAGCGCCGAGTCAAAAGTCGATTTATTCAACAAAAATGCCAATATCATGAAATAATGATAGACTGAAAAACATTTTCCTAACTCCAAGAAAAGAACAAATGAATTTGAGGGATGCATAAACTATTCATTAATTAATTCATAATTTGAACACTGCTTTCCTTCTATATGTTTTCAGAGGGATACAGATACCTCGCCCCAGCATGAAAAATGCTGTTCTATGATTTCTGAAACAATAGCTTGTAATCGTTTAACTAACTTATTAAATATTCATATCTGAACTGTCTGATATCCATTGATTAGCATGTACTTAACCCATCGGTCATTGAAATCTTCATTTTTCTCCACTGAGGACAAATTCATCAATGCAATTACCATTATTTTTGTGCATGCTATCGCCTTTCTTGCCATAGTTAGAATAGACTTGTCTTGTCTCAAAACTGACCTCATTCAGCCAAAACGTCACAGAAATGAATATGTGTTAGTGTGCAGCAAGACTCTTGAATTACTTAGAATAGTTATCTTTATCCTGGCCACGGTATCCCTGCATTACACACATATGCGGATCCACAAGCGCAACGTCATAAGAGAGGAACAGGCAGTTAGTTTCAAGTAACATAAGATAGATACAAATTAACAATACAGTACTAATCTGATCTTTTTCAAACTGATTGATCATGAATATTTTATTACCTGAGGGAATGTTCCGAAATGTTCAGATTCTTTATGACAAAACATTTGAAGACTGAAACATGACATCAAGATCACAAAACTAAATGTTATAATGACAAGTGCTCCAATTTTTTTCGCTGGTCCCAATATCTATTTATGAAAAATATCTCAAGTTATTGAATATATAACGATTATTATTGAAAATCACTAACATAACATTAACAAGATGTATGATGGCGAGTTTGCATACAGTCAAAGTCTTGACAACAGACTAAATCAGAATTGAACTAGGCTGGCAAGTTAAGTGTTGTAGTTTTCAGAATTTTTTCATTCAACCTGGTAGTAAGAGAATAAGAAGCCTCCTAACATTTAAAATGAATTAAATTGACCAGAATTCATCCTCTAACGTCATTCACATAATCAAACTTACTTGAAAAAATAGTAATATAAAACTGAGCAACCAAGACTGAAGCCCAGTAGCCTAATATGCAAAAGAAAAAATACTATAATACCATTCCAAACTCTTTGCTCGATGTAAAATATTTGTTGTACCCGAAGACTCAATATAAGATCATTTTAACAAATAGAATTTCTCTCAGTCATAGCAATGTGATCTTTAATTTTAACCTATTTATAAAGCAATACCTTGTACACAAAACCTTCAAGAGTTGGCGACAGCTTGACAAGTCTGATGATACGTAGAACGGGAAAACTATTCAAGAATGGAAAGTTGAAAATTGTATTGACTGTAGTACCAAGAGCAAGAAATGCTTCATATCTGCATGTACTCGTCATGATATAACCAACAATGCCCATACAGCATATTTTCATCAGTGCTTCTACATCAAACACAATGGTGAATATCAGCTGAAAATGAATACAAAATGAGCTTAATCATGACCAAGTAACAATTCCTACAAAAAACAACTGTAATTGAACTAGTTATACCATTGTGAATATATAAAAAACATTTTGGACAGGTAGGTGCTTTACTATATCAATGTCAGTTTACTGATATAAAATAAATTTAGGTACCGGTAAATACCAAATCACTGTCACAAAAAGGTATTCAATTTATTCAGCTTCATAATAATATCAGAAGAATAGAACATGTACACTACATACAAATCACAATGTCCTAAAGATATTTACAGATGTAACCTCAAGTGTTTTACTTCGAAGTATTTCTCTATGCCGCGACTTTCCACAAAGCCAACTTGAACAATATACAAACCTCTGCCACACTGAAGAAGTTCCATTTGCTCTCGCCCTCAAGTCGGGGCTGAAAAGCAATTATGCTGACATTGAGAATGATTGCAACTTGCATCATAATATGGAAATATCGTGAATGAAGTGCAAGTCTCCACGCTTCAAATATTCCTGTTCTAATACTAACATCTTCTGTAGCAATTAGACGCCAGGACTCGCCTTCTGTTGACAAAACCTGTAATAAAAAATTATTTAGAGATATAAACTCACATACGCATCGCACCCATCAAAAATAATATTTTGTTGTTTGGAGCAAACTTATTGAAGACTATAAAATATTTCGAAGCTTAAAGTGAACCCATACCACTTTGTGGTAGTTTCTGGGAAATAAATGTCATATATAAATGATTCTTTTATATTATTCATTTAATTTTGCAGCCTTAAAAGCACTACATGACATTCAGTATGTGAGCATATCATTGGGTTGCCAGATATTACAAAATTTATTTTTTTTTTTTGAATTTGGGTCGCTTGAAAAAGAGGTTTGGAACCACATGTATATTTTAGCTTGCATGTATAAATTTTGGTCAATTACATGCATGTTATATTTATTATCAAAATTATTGTAATGCTTGCAGTTGTTGCTTTTGATTTGTCACATACACCCGGAAAAAATGAGAATAAACTAAATTTTAACTGCCACAGTTGGCATAAACTATTGATAAAATATGGCAAATCTTTTTTGTATTGGATAGTCAATCCACTGAGATTAATAAAAGCAATATGCTTACTAAATAAATAAAATGAGAACTGAGAATGTAGAAAACCAGTCAAAAGCATATAGGACATTCTCTAATAAATAACCTACCTGTGTTGCAGACGTTGATCGATTAACTCCAGCATTCCCCCATAAACTATGCAGTTGAACTCGGATTTCGGCAAATGCATCAATAATTACAGCAATGAACACATTCTAAAATCAGAAGACAATATTCCCTGTTATTGGCAAACAAATGGTCTCGCCAGGAATTATTAGAGTCACCTTTACAACTGCATTAACATTAATATTGAAAAAATTGAACATGTTTCATACATTTTCAAATTGGGTGTATTTGTATGCTTGGAAAGGGCATGGAAATTGCATACTATAGATATTTGACAAATTTGATTTACTAAGAGTATACTTGATCATATCACTTTAGATTTCATATAATCAGAAATGATTAAAAAAACTGATTTCATTGGAGAGATTTTTTCTTACTAACAAATCTTCAATGTAGTATACAATGATACTTGCCTTTACCAACCAGGCCAAGAAAAATATGAGAAAGATGAAGTAGAAATATCCAAGCCAATCTTCATAGCTATCAATACTTTTATACATTAAAAATATCCACCCTTCCTGACTTGCGGCCTCATATACTGTTTTGATGCTGATTGCTTGAAAATAAGGTAGATGGAATGTAAATATATTGTTTACATAATCATTCTATCCTGAACAATCAATAGTTTTCAATATTCACCCCATATAGTAAGGTTATTTCCAATTTTGGTCAAAATTTCCTCTTTAGTTATTGAATTTGAATACATCATGTTTCACAAATTTTTTTATCCTTACACGTCACTATGTATAGTCTATATAAAATTGGAAAAATTCAACAATTGTCAAGGCCCACTTTCAATTGCTTATGTTCTATTTCTGAAATCATACCAACTAAATCATACATACAGACTGACACAGTACATAAAATATCAAATGCCTTGAGATTAGATGCTAGTAGGTATAAATACAAGCCAGGCAATCAAGTTTCAAATTCAATAATATCATTTTCATTTGAATATTCACATTTTTACACAATATATCATTGTCTTAATACCACCATTATTTTTTTGTTAATAATAATTTCATTTATATTACTAGTAATAGCGTAAATTGAAAGATGATGTTGGGAATGTTATATTTGTTAAAATAAGACCAACTTTTAACTTTTGTATAAGCTACATGAACATTTATCAGAGCATTATCCCAAATTATAAATGCTATAAATCTCAATGAAAAGGAGGTATCATGTGACGATGAAATAATTCACAACCCTAAGATTATTTTAGGGAAAAATATAACAATGGGTACTTCCTAAAAATAGTTTGATCCATCTTCATACCTATGTTATCGAAACTTCCATATCCCGTCTGTTTCATTGAAAGATGTATGTGCATACATGTCATATTTTCTGGACAGAGCGAGCTATCATTTTTCGAACATGTTGTATCTGGTATTGCTAGATTTTGTAGTGTGACATTTCTGCAATTATATTTATTCACATAAGTTATAATATATTAGTTGTTGTTAGACAAAACATTTCACATTTACTATGAACACATATACTAAATTGTTGATGACTAAAGATATTGATCTAAACTTGTCTAAATTATTAAGTTAATAACTGATAATAGGTTTGGCGGGTCATATCAATTACTAGGAATACAGCTGCCCTCCCACCAGTGATTACCCTGTGCGAGTTTTGCAGGTTAAAATCTTGGGGAGGATAATTATGTGCGAGAGGATTATTAAAATTCTTGAAATCGTAGGGTGGTTCAGCTAACTGCGATAGTCGGTTAAGGTTCCCTTCACCATCAATTCCATGCATCTGAAACAATCAACTGGTTAACCATTTCCATACACGACATGAACTGGTAAACAGACGAGAAGCCATGGTTTGTCATTATAATTAAGACATTTTTTCTTTTCCCTGGGATACCTATAGAAATCTTACAAGCCGGAGTTTTTTTCTGGCTAGGGGAATTATGGATGAATGCCATTAATGTGCTTTATCACGATTTTGCGCTTTGAACTGCAGCGTGAGGCAACTGTTTATGAATAGGTGTGTGTGAAATGTACAGAAATTAAAACTGTACTTTGTGATGTAATACTGCAGCAGACATTTTACAACAGTATCCAACTTTATTATTTATATGCTCATCACATAAATATATTCATTAACAAAATAAGTTGAAAACCGAGGCAAAGGCTGGGGACTGGCATAGATTAGTGTGAAAAATGAGCACAACTAAGAGTGTAAAGGATATAAAATCAACCAAAATGAAATATACTAAATCTACCTTTTCATATATTATTCTGGAATGCACAAGCCTACATACTTACCTAGGATCAGTATCTTTTGTTACACAATGATATGAAAAGTCACCAAACATTTGAACACCAAGAATCCCATACAATAAAATGAAGAAGACCAAAAACAGAGTTACCCCAGCAATATGTTGACTTGCCCGCCTGAAATGTAAGAAATTTTCAAATCATTCAATATTGATTAATATTTTGGTGGACATGATGGCACAGTGAGTAAAGCGTTAGACTCAACTATGTTAGCATTGCAGGTCACACATTCCTGGTTTAATTTCCATATTCACCACCTCACCCAGGGTGAAATAGATTGATTGGGCATTGATGAACCGAGAATTTGCAGTTTTTCAAAAAATAGCAGCTCTCCACGCATCATTAGATATCAGTGGAAGCTTATATAGGGCCACGTTCAGAAAAAAACAAAATAAATAAGCATTGAATAAAAAATGTCTTAATTGAATCATTATCTTTGAGAAGTAGGGTGTAAAACATTAAGAGTGTCAAAACTCTGATATGAAGGGCCTCCTTGTACATCAAATTATAGAAAAAAGTAATGAATATAACAACTTACAGCACAATTGCGGTCACTTGACCACTTCCCGATGACAGAAAATATCTGAAGGCTCTGATTATTACAAGAGCGCGTGGTACACGAGATAAGCCAAGTGGCAATATTGGAGCAATTTCCGGATCTTCATACTCATGCTCATGCTCATGCTGGGATAACTCTACTGCCTGAAGTATAAACAAATATCCATTCGATAAAACTGAATTCATCAAGTAGTTAAGTGTTGTCATTTCAAGACTGGGCCAACTTGTTTATCTCCATATTCCAAATATACATCTTAAAACATTTTGGAAGTTGAAAATTTCAACTTGAAATCACAGTGATGTTTGTATATTGTGCATTTTATTTTGAAGATGATTTTTGTGCTCTAACCATCATTTGACCCTTATTCATGTCTCTGATTTATATACCCATAAGTGTGTAAACAAATATCTAATACTGCAAAAGAGATTCAGCAATTATACTAACGTAAATATAATACATACAACAATTGTCAATAACATGTTTAAATATTAAATACTGGTAATAAGGATGAAATTCGATTCCTGTGTACCTGCACCATAACTGAAATCCATATGAATATCGTATCGACACAATCAAACACACAAGAAACATCTTTGAAGTATGGTTTATCACCCTGAAATAAAAGAATGAGATTGGTTATACTTATACGATATGAAGAACGTTCAATCAGGCTTAACATCCAAAAGCTGTAATATTATTATTAAGATTTCGCCTCTAAAATAATGCTTTGGTTTCTGGACAAAAAGGCAAATTTTGAAAAAATCTGTATTTGGAGATATTACAAGAAAATAGGTGTTCTTTAATCTCATATCTGATCAAAGTTTGAAGCAATATTCACCATAAGTATTTCAATAAAAAGTTACGAGAGTTTGAAAATCAGAAATATATGTTTTCATCATTGTTTCATTGTTTATTTAATTATTCTACTAAATATACATTGACACAACTGACATTCAGCAGTGTGAAATTTCACCTTTATCATTCCTTTCAAATATATTTTGAATAACATTTCAACAGAGAGAACAATCCCAGCAAATATGTCAGCAAATATAGTGATTGAGTTGAAGACAGGATAAGCTTGTATTGTTTCTGGAGTATTTGCACAAACAGATACGAAACTCAGCAATGCACATGAGACAACAAACCGTCGAGTACTCTGAAACATACACATTAGAGAATGAGAAGTCATTGCAAATACAGAATAGAAAGATTCTGGAGACTAGTATTTGAAATTACACTTGATATTTAGCCATGTTATGTATGTTTTATTGATTCTATAAAGCCCATGACTTAAATGGTAAGAATACCAAATCTATTACCTACAATCAATTAATAGCCATAAAGTTTGTTATTCACAAAATTCACAACACACAAATATCAAAATATTCGATATGGATATGAAACTCCATTTATGCATTTCAAAGTACAATATCACATTTTGCTGCAAACAGAATCCCAGCGAACACAATAAAACAAAAGTCGGGAGATTCACAATGCACACTATAAATGCGTTTGGCTATTTATTACCATCGAGATAGTTAAAAAAGTCTTCTGCTCCACACAGAAAATTACTTATGCCTGCGGAACAAATATAAGAATGATAATCACACATTAAGTACATGACGAAATTGCCATTGTTTCAAATGCCGGCCAGTCATTGAATTAAACTATGTGTATCAATCCGTTCATGTTTTAATTAGTAATTCAATGACGCAAAATAGTGCAACACAATATTTATAAAACTGATATGTGCAAAGTATATTCTTATACAAGTATGGGCATTCAAATCAAATAGTCGATTGCAATACCCCGGATGTCCGAAAATCGTTTCTAGTGTTTATAATATTATAAAATTTTATTTTACACCAGCAAGCATTCTGGGCGCCGCCTTCGGAGACGTTTTACTTAAATGTACTTTGCGATGGTTATACGAAAAGGGGACACATTGCGCACGTAATTAATTGTGTGCTTCATCTTCAGTTTAAATCGTAACCGGGTTTAACGAGAAACTTATGAGTTTCTTGAGTTTTGTAGTGTCTAAAATAGAATTTGTCTAACCTTACCTCAACATCCCGGAGTTCGTTTTTGACGTGTGTGGGTGTGGTATTATTGAATTCCTAAGCTAGCACAATGCGAGCGAATTCCAAAAATTATTTCAGTCGTTATAAAGGTGTCGTTGATGAAAGTATTGCTCATACTTTCGCAATACGCAAAGTCGCGGGGTTAAGTTGTGAGAAGATATAAGGGAGATCTAAAAAAGTCGTCATGAATTAAACCAGTGTCGATTTGAATACCTTATAACACTATTTTTCAGCCTTAATACTCCTTTTTATTGGCAGTTGAAAATCTGGGTTGTGGATTCACTCCTTCGAATAATTATCTTCAGTGTCTCGTTGACGGAGAAGATCGCGTAATGACTATTGCGCTTTTCTGACTGAACGGTAGGTTTCGCGAGCGACAAAAATATTCGTCATTGTCCGTAGTTGAACAATATTTAATATAATAGTTCTGCTTCGCGAGCAAAAAATAATCATCGAAGTAAGCGATGGCACAAGACTTAATACTTGCATGGAGAGATACTTGTCAGATAGTGGCGGAATCTGTCGTACTTGTGTTAGCGGGCCAAATAACACTCACGCTGACGACACCCAGTCTGTATTTATAACAAAAATTAGTCACATAAAAACATTTCACTGCATTCCTATTTGCTATTAATTCTGTGCCTGCCCAGGTACAAGCTACAATTCATGAGTATAAATACTGTGGTGATTTCTAATTCTCTCTCAAAAGCAAAAATAGTTTTAAATTTCAATCATATCACAGACGTCATATGTTCTCTTTATATCTGCTTTACTGTGATAACAATAATAAAAATTCCTATTCCGTTGGATTTTAGTGATTTGATTAACATTTATGTTGTGTCGGACCTAAATAAGAATTCGGAATTCAATATTTGATGATAATAATTTAAAATTTAATTGGAATAGTCTAGCATTCGTTTATTGCCATTTAGAGAGGTGTAAATCGACCTTGTTAAGGTTTCACTATTGGATTCCAGTACTTTGGGATTCAAATCCTTGGATTAGGCAATAAGAGTAACGTGGTATAGTTCAACGCTATTGAACGTGAAGAAAATTAGAATCCAAACAATCGGCCATTCATTACACGAACCATACTGTGATGTGATTATCTTCCGCGAAGCATTCAAAGCTACAGTAACAAAATGCACCAAACAACATACAGAAATATGAAATACAATCAGCAGCAGGATATGTAATGTATGGCAAATCTGAGAATAGCAAATTCTAAAAAGTTATGATTAAATAGGCTGAAACTCACCTTGCTGTATATCCAGTGGGTTCGAAGGTTTTCGTTCATGTTGTTTTCGTTTTTGCGTTACCTAAAAAAAGTTGCAACCCACAAATACGCTGACAAAGAAACGATCTATATAGCAGCAAATCCAATAGAGCGCGAACGGTCTACGTCTATCCATTCGTCGTGGGACGAAACAGACGGGATCGATCGATCGATCAATAGAATTTTGAAAGCCAATACACTGTTTTTCGACTGTTCCGTTGCTTTTCTCTCGTTTTGAGTTTAATGACTAATGAACTTTATTAGACGATAGGCCACACACAGCAACAATATTCAAAAATGTAACTTTTCCGTATAAATATTTCTTGGCGCAAAATGAACAAAAATATTGTCTCAATACCCCACACCGTACGTTTTCATGGTTCACTTACTGATCGGGCCCAGTATGTCCCGTTTGCATTTGATTCAGTGGTGGCATTGAGAGGGTTCCCGCGAATCCGTTCTTGATTTTTGTTTTAGACGTTAGACGACCGAAGCATATAGATTACGTGCGCCGCAGCTGACAATTAGCGTTACATTCGGCGTTTACGTATGTTATGTATGTTTATGTGGTTATGTATTAGATCTATGTAAAGCGTGTTATGTTAATGCGTGAGTTCAATACATATGACAAGAGAGCTACGCACAAATATATGGACACGTTAGACCAGAGCGAATCAGTCTTTACCGGTACCTTTGACGCTACCGGTACCCTCAAAAAAGTTCTGAATTTCCAGTAGCAAGAATTTTGCAGAATCAAAACGTACAGCCAGTCATGACACTGACTAAAATCCGTGTTCCCATGGATAAAAAACAATACAGCAAAATTTTAGACGAAATATCAAATTTCATAGAATTCACGCAAAATTTTGAAATAAATAAAAGTAATAGCCTTCTAGCGAAGAAATAAATCTTTAACCACTGAAAATTTCAAAGCAATTGGTCCAGTATTCGAAGAGAAAAGCGATTTTTTAAAAACGTGTCAAAGAACAAGAACAACAACAACATAATATTGAAACGATCGTTATGGCCACTAAACGTGTCCAATAACCCTTAGCTAAAGTTTTGACTCTTACCGCTGGGTCAGTATATTTCCAAACTGAACGCAAGGTAGAGGTTTCACAACATTACCACATTGATCGTTTTGGATTTGCTCAGTTGCAAAACCTTCGGTAACTAATAGATGAAAATTCGCATAAGTCATGTGTTTTTTGTGCCTCCCGAAAATGCTGAAACATAGTAGTTCAATTTCGAAAGATTGATAATATTATTTTGACGACACCAAAAATTTCAATATTTTGCCTGACTATGTGCTGGAAATAGAGAAAATTGTAATAATGCTTTGAATTAATTGATAGTTTCAAAAACACAACTGATATTTGAAAAGGACAATACAAGTAAGTCGAGATATTTGTTGTAAAAATTGACGACTTTCTCAATTAGATAAATAAATAATATACATTCATCATACATTTTGTAGCAAATACATTAGGTAGTTACTATCTATTTCAGTACTTTTAAACACTTATTGGACACGTAGTGGACATAACGATCGTTTCAATATTATGTTGTTGTTGTTCTTGTTCTTGTTCTTTGACACGTTTTCAAAAAGTCGCTTTTCTCTTTGATTACTGGACTAATTGCTTTAAAATTTTCAGTGGTTGAAGATGAAATTTTTCTCCAGAAGGCTATTACTTTTATTTATTTCAAATATTTCTGTTAGCTCTGTAAGATTTGTTTTTGTTTGCTATGACGTCACTAAACGTTCTGCGGGTATATCGGACGCCATTTTGTGTCCAACGGACCATCTTGCAATTCCAATTCACGCTGTCACAAGACAGGACCTTCTAAAGATAGAGAAGTTCTGGTACCGTAGCACAGCGCGGTGACACTGAACTAACTCGTAGCTGTCAAAAGCTTGAAAATCCATACAAATATGAGAAATAAAAAGATGAAACTTGGCAGGTGGGTAGAGTTGTGTTTCTTTTAACCATATTTGAAAGTTTTGCGTTTCTACATTTGAAGGAGGGGGAATAGGGGGTGTGCATTTCTGATACGTCCATAATATCTTTGTCAACCAATTTGCGGCCACCGTGTTTTCGTCTGTTTGATTGCTGTGATGTGGTGCTTTGTTTATAATTTAACGAGTTTTGTTCGAAATAACCGTGTTCTTGAAATATATGACGGTCAGAAATGCAATTAGAAGCCCAATGTTTTCACGCTGTCACAAGACCAACATATGTCAACCAATTTGCGACCACCGTGTTTTGTCTGTTTGATTGCTGTATGGCTGCGTATGCGATAGTCTCGACGCAGCAGAAACGATGATCAAGGCTTGAAATCCATGGTCGCACACTGGTCGTTCGGTCGCAAATACGTCTTTCGAGTGCCGTACTTTGGGGATTTGTATAGCTTTAACCCTTTGTCGTAGAAAGTTAATACGAGGTTTAGCGTGTAGAATAAATGCCGCCAATGCACCCACGGTGAAAAAATTAACGGGTTAGATATATTGGTTTTTGTTTTATAGCGGTTTGAATGAAATTGTCCGCAGACTGGCTACACCACCCTAGGCCTGGTGAGTTGTCCGTGTAGTCGATCCATCAGCCCTAAACGGCTATGACAGTCACTGTACCAAAAATTGTACCCCGATTCGGCTGGTGTTAAGTTGACGCATGTTATTTAGTAACGTTTTTATGTGAAATGTTTGACTGTGGTTCGGTACCTGATCCGATAATACGGTACATAATTGACTCATATCACGAGATATTTCAACTGATGTTTCAATTGTCACAGGACCTAAAATATCTATGACAGTCCCTGTACCGTCACGGTACCCCGATACAGGTACTGGTAAGTCACCGCCGGTATGTTAGTCGTTGGTCACCGCATATGATTTTTGGGGAATTGTTCTGCGTGTCCATATATTTGAGCATTGCTCTCTTGTTGATAATAGTTTCTTTTTTCATGCACTACTTCGTTTCGGCATCCTTATCCATGTGTTTCAGCTTTTGCTCCCTTGTTGGACACGAAGTGGACATAACGATCGTTTCAATATTATGTTGTTGTTGTTCTTGTTCTTTGACACGTTTTTAAAAAGTCGCTTTTCTCTTCGAATACTGGACCAATTGCTTTGAAATTTTCAGTGGTTAAAGATTAATTTTTTCGCTAAAAGGCTATTACTTTTATTTATTTCGAAATTTTGCGTGAATTCTATGAAATTTGATATTTCGTCTAAAATTTTGCTGTATTATTTTTTATCCATGGGAACACGGATTTTAGTCAGTGTCATGACTGGCTGTACGTTTTGATTCTGCAAAATTCTTGCTACTGGAAATTCAGAACTTTTTTGAGGGTACCGGTAGCGTCAAAGGTACCGGTAAGGACTGATTCGCTCTGGTCTAACGTGTCCATATATTTGTGCGTAGCTCTCTTGTTGTTATTGGACACGAAGTAGACATAACGATCGTTTCAATATTATGTTGTTGTTGTTCTTGTTCTTTGACACGTTTTTAAAAAGTCGCTTTCGTCCATATATTTGAGCATAGCTCTCTTGTTTCCAATAGGATTGTTTTCATACGACGTTTTAGGCAAAAAAGTTGAATTCGTATATTTCCACCCTCTCCTAGTTGTGTTTGTTAATCGTTTTTGGCTAGTGAGAACTTGGTTTCATGACATATAATTTAAGATTTTAAGTGTACTTCACTATCTGATATTTGGACCAATTCGATCGTGCTACTCACAATACAATATATATACGAACATTTGGCATTACAGTCTATTGTTTGCTTATTTGAGTTCAGTTGGGGTTTACTCCACTAGAGTACGTCAAATAGTACTGGAGAAGAACACGCAGAATAGTGTCTAACTCCCCTATACTTTCATCTTTAGACGATGACCACCATAGGGATTGTGGCACCGTGCGCGTAGGATTATGCCTGACAACGTTGGTCCCAAGCAGAAGCAAATTTTCTAAAAATAAAAACGCGTGACAACGATGGGCCACGAGGCGGACCATCGTTGTCAACCTTTTTATTTTCTTTTTATTCAATTTTTTTTTTTAATTTTTTTTTTTTTTAATTTTTTTTTTTTTTTTTTCGTTTTTATTTATTTTTTTTTTTTAATTTTAATTTTATTTTTTTATTTTTTTTTTAATTATTTTTATGTTTTTTTACAAAAAAATTTTTATTATCGGTTTTTTATTTTTATTTTCAATTTTACGCGTGACAACGATGGGCCACCATACTTGTCCATTAACAATATATATACTCCGTGAAGGGGCTGATGGACACATTTATAATATTTATGAATATAAAGTTGACGAAGCCTGTAAATTTTGTTGTTTTGTATGTCTCTTCGTACATGTAGTCCTATTTAGTAGACGCTAAACCTAAATTTAACAATTTTTATTGAATTGTATTCCACTGGGAATCCCATGGGATGGTAATGGGACAGAAAAATATGTCCCATGGACAAGCCTGTGAAGAGGTGTAAACAGAATACCGTTATCGAATCCCGCGATTCGAATATTCTGAAGATTCTGCTCCTATGAACAGTTCCACTGCAGTGATCAAAGGGTCAAATAAAAATCTCACTCTTTTATGTGGTTGATACCGTTTTTAGACATATTCAATATTACGGGAAATGAACTCGTATTATCTGCCTCTTACCTTATTGGTTTTTCGCATATTACTTCCTACTACCACATTTGTATTTTAACGTAGAAGTCCCGCGACATGATACTCGTAAAGCGTCCTGCAAAATTAAAATGGTGTTTATCACGCTGTGGGTCTAAAAATTGGCAATCTTTCACGTGTGCCCTTTCGGCTTAACTTCTGATGATGTAAAATTTAATTTGTTTAAATTTAAAAAAGGGTAATTAATGAACATGGATATAGTGTCAGAACTTTGTCAAAAGTTCATTCCTACAAATTCGCTACGTTTGAACAAATTTATATATATGAGCTGCTTTGTTTGAATGTTTTTTTGTCAATTGTTTTTCTCATTCATCTCAGTTGTAACACTGTGTTTGTAGAGTATAGATATATGAAGTACGCTAACAGGAGTCTGTGTGAGACAATGTGGATGAGTTTTCGCTACCTCATCAATTATTTTGTATATTAAAAGGCGTGGCACAATTACGGGGAATTCATGCGATTGATCCATATGTAACCTTTTAAGTGTATTACATAGTGATCTCCTTACATCCCTCTTAAGGGGGTGAACAATTCCTAACTTAAATATAATTGTATTTAAATATCCACATAGTGCCGTATATAGCCTACCGGAGCAGATAGTCAGTCAAATACATAACACATTA